GCCTGCAAATAGAAAGACGAAGTAGTAATTATGAAGAGTGCTCAAATGAATTCAAGACCTCCAACTTCACCAGCACACAGTGGTAAGTGACAGCGCATGTCACAGGTCTGCTATTCCAGTCCAAACGCCGGTTACCACGATGAAATGACAGACAACAGTGGCACTGTGAACGCGAACTAAGTGTCTCAGTCGCTATAGTTTCGGCTTAAAGCAGCCGAAAGCATTTGGTTAACGAAAGGAATATGGGACCTTCTGCGAAGCTGAAGTCAGTGATGTATCGTTTTATCGGTCATATCTGCCGAAAGGCGAAATGTACTGAATTACTTTGCAAAGGAAGTCGTTCTTGATGATTTTTAATTACATAAAATTTGTATTCTTCCACGAATCCAATTGATTGTTGTTATATCAAGCATAGTTTCAATGACAACTCTCCTCACTACACGATTATGGCTAGGTACACAAATAAGCAACCCAATTTGCCGATTTTTAACCGCTTTGTTGAATATCAAAGCCCCTGGATCTGTGCTTGAAGTTCAAGAAGAGAACAGAGATACTTATACCTCCAAAGTCAATACTTGATCCTAGAGTACGGGTAAGTTAGCTTTAGATATCTGCAGTTCTAGTGAGGTCCTTAAAAGTAACCCGGAGAGCATATCCTGTACACAAAAAACTATAGGAATTGAAATTTATGGTAAAAAAAACACGATACCTCAATGTCCTTCCACCGCAGGTTGGGATACTGCTTCTCAAAGGCCTGAATGAAGTCAGTGTGGTGGATATGCAAAAGCTCATCAGCTTCGCGATAGTTCATTACGGTAAAATGCTTCGTGTAGTCGTCGAAATGGTCCAGTGAAAATTGCCTGGAAAAATTGATTGGGGATAAGTTACTTCTAGTGAGTCAGTTATACAGCTGCACCAGTGAGTTCATGAATTCCATGCCTCGATTTCCAAAGAAGACGTTATGATTCCGTTAACACTAAGTCCCTAGAACGTTACTAGATTCGTATCTGAGCGGGGGATTATGCATAATGATACAATATGCTAGAAAGCAGTAAGAAAAAACTCTCTAGAATTTGAAACGTTAGTCGGAGACAGTGAAGACGACAGGAGGAGTGGCAGATTACTTGGACCATTTCAGCACCCACCAATCGGCCTCCACGACAGTAGTACGGGGCTCCGTTCACGTAACCTGTGCTGTAGAACATGCAGTCCTGCTGCATGTTTACAACAAATACACTTCCAGGGTAGATCCCGGGCACCGCATAGTAGTCATTAATTTCGTGCCTGTGTGTGTCATATGAACACTTCTGTATGGCAAAGGAGGAGTTCTTGTAGCTAAGATGGATGCATGTACAGACATTGAGAGAAGGACGGTGTTATCATGAAACTGGGTTGGAAGCACAAATTCACCTCCAACGGCATTTGGTCTTAGTATTGAGATAAAGTCATCACCCGTAGCCTCACCCACGACTCAACTAAAGCGTGAACATAAGCCTACCGATGTGATGCATGAATAGTGACTTAGACTTCCACTTAGCTATACTTCTAACCTCGAGGAATGAAAAAGAATCCTGAAACTGAAGCGGGAAAAACGGGCTGACGTAGGCAATTTAAGTTCAAGTGTCAGACCTGCCTGTGTTCTGATTCAGTATAGGTTTAATATCAGTAATGTCTGGGGCAGCAAAAGTCCGTCATCCCGAGGGGTTTTTGTTGTTCACCAACGGTAGCTGGCCAGCAGCGCAATGTAATGTCGGAAGTTTATAAAAGATAAAACCGTCAAACGGTTCGAAAAATTGGGAAATGCATCATTTCAATCCAACTGCCAATTTCGTAGGGTAAGGGATGGTGAAATGACTCAGCAGTAAGACAGTGGCGTCACCATTCGGATGGATACCTATCCACGCTTTATAGTAGATATACGTAATCGTGTTTTACAAATGTCTACAAGCTGCAATAAGCCATTGCCATGAGCCAAACCGAAGACCTGGATCAGCATTTGAGTTGATACAAAAGTTACTTCAGAATGCCCAAATGGGATGCTCAGAAGCTGGGCGCGAAAAGGGACGACAGACATCCCCAACACCATCCGAACACCGGAGATTGCATTTTGTAACAACCACATGGTGAACGTGGTAATGCACTCGCGACCAAGAACTTGGGGAAAAATCAACCACCACAGCTGAAATGTTTTTTTTTTGTTCTTAAACAAAAGGGCTATTCAAAAACTGTTAAAATGAGGCCGTCCCCCTTCGGACTAAGAACATTCTACGTCTATTTCGTTGTTCAAAACTCAACTAATCTATTTATCGTAGGCGATTCGGTGCAGGCAGCTACCACAAATTGATAAGAAATGCATGTCACATGAGTGGGGTCAGGCTCAAGTAAGACAGTGGAGGCGTCACGTATTTGTGACGCTAGCGTTGAAAAGGCTAAAAAGAATTGATTTTGGTCAAAAATAAGAATAAATTGACACGCGGAGATAAGTTGTTGCTAAAAATTGCGCGAAACCAAGCTTTTCGCGATTTTTTGATCACAGACAAAATAACTCGGGAGGTACGCACTTATTGGCGAAGCGCAACCAAAAGACCTTGTGAGTGTAGAGCCGGAGGGGCTGGGTGGATATGAGGAAGACGACATAGCGCAAATCGAATTTCACCCAACTGGAGATGTCCTTCCGGTAGAAGAGCACAGGATCAGTGATATATCGACTAGCAATCTGAAAGCAGAGTAACAAACTACTTACACAAGTCTGTGGAGCAACAGGAAGAACAGAGGCAATTTTTACGGATGATTACTTCCAAATAACCTGCAATGCTACGTAGATGACAGATTCGCTAGCAAAGTCACAGAAAAATCGACCACCACAGCTTAGGCATCTAGTTGTCTAAATGGTCAAACTAATCTAGCTGCTACTTACAAATTAAATGTAACACTTCTCCTCAGATCAAGATCATCATACATTTATTCGTTACCTTAGAACCGGCAAAGCTGTTGGTGATACAAAAGTGGACAATAACACTTTTCATAAACTGATAAGGAACGCATGTCACACATTTGTGACGTGTGGGATCAAATGGTGAAATCGAGGTGGCATATATGTGATGCGAGTGTCAAGCTTGCTATGTACAGAGGGCTCGAGTCCAAGTTCACTTGTTACTATCCTATGGAGACAAAAACGGGTGAAGAAATTTAACCCCAGGATACCCTACTGGGGAGTTCGCGTAAGGCCACTGAAACACCGAGATTGTTGGGGAAAGGGCTACAAGATTTTATAATTCATTTCGTCTTCTGAGAAAAAGCTAAAAACAAAAGCATACCATTGGGCCACATTCATTGAGTCGGAGAATTTGATCTAGGTTCTCGGAAATGCAGATGCCCAAACCACGACCCAGGTTCCAGGGTTTCACGATCCAAATATTGCGTTTTTTTGACTCACAGCCGATGGTAACAGACACATGTCGACCTTGCCTGTCACAACGGAGACACACGTCGGCATGGGGACATTGTAACAAGTCATTTTTTGTCTGAGGAGGATAAAAAACGGGCGATTTATTGTCGTTGGACAAGCCTGGTCCAATTCGCATTGATCGAGGTGAAAATAGCAGAGTCATCATTCTTTTTGGCGATACAAGTGAACTGCCTGTATACATATTTGGGATTAAACAGACGAGTCTCAATACTTTTGATCAAGGCGGTTGTTGCCATGTGTTGCCATTTGAACTCCACCAAAGGTGACAATAGGCATTGGTGAAGGACGGTTTAAGCAAATACCTTGATAACCCAAATGATCCAATAGCATAAAGCTCCGAAACCGAAACTAGTGAATCATTTTCGACCCATACGAAAGTGCGGTCAATCGTGGAGCACCGGCATGCCAATCAAAGCGAATACAAAGTGACAACTCTCTTCTACAAGAGCTCCGAAGAAAAAAAAGGTCCATAAGTGAAACCATAAAGCCCGATTGCTCTGTACGATTTGGACTTCTGACAATAGTTTAAACAGACAACAATAAAAACGAAAGAGTGGGCAAGAAAAAGTTTAGACATCAGAATTACTCAGAATCGTCCCCAGGAAAACATTCCCATGGAAATAAACTCACAAGCGTAAATTCTAAGAGAATAAAAGCAAATCACCTCCAATGAGAGGTAGAAATTGCAAATTGAAAGACACGTAGGATACCAAAACTAACATCATTCCTTTCTGCTTTCTTCTCTTCTTCTGCATCTGAAATCTCCTCGGATTTACGCTGGAAGAAACCCACAAACTGTGCTAACTCGTAGAAGAGGTTAAAGGTTACGGGATACCAGGCGGAGGTAAGAGCCCGCTTGGGGCGGTCAGCGTCACCACGGGGATTCTCCGCATCCGCTTCGTCCTCCTCCTCGAGGTCAAATGCGTCACCGGGGCCGCTGATTTCGATGGCACGCTCGGAAGCAGCGAGGGCGGCTAGCATATCCTTCACAGTGAGGACGGACTCGTTGGGAAACTGGTTCAACCACACGTGGCTTTGCTTTTGGGACAACCACCTAGAGGCAAGTAGACACCGTAATAGTAGGGTTTTTTAGCTTTACCGAACGCGGGTCGTTTCGGTCGTACCGATGAGATGGAGCTATGCCCTGATACACCCGAGTGCCAATTATCCCAGCCCTTCCATGTGCGTTGGAAATGACTCGATAACCACTTCAAAAAGACAAGAACAGCTCAGATTTTATGGGTTAAAGAGCATGGCTTAGCGAAACAGCGGAAAGACATCCGCTGTGGATGGCTGAGTTTGCAGAGGCAGGACTATTAAAAGTGCGCCGAAGTTGAGTGACTACTCTAGTCTCAAGCTCTACATAACGGGTAGTAATGAAGCCCGACTAGGTTTAAAAGAATTAAAAATGTGTCGAAGAGAAGGCATGATGGAAGGAGTGAAAACTTAGAAAGTTCCCCCGTTTTAAGAAATGGAGAAAAGTAGCGCATGGCAACATAACCATTATTCATCGAATTCGTTCCCAAAATCACCGAAACATCGAAATTATGGAGAACTGGAGCAACTTCGGTTCAAAAAATTACAGTAGGAATTTTCCTAGTAGCGCAAGAAAGCGGTGTGGATAACCTTGCAGTGATAACGTGATCCCGTGCAAACAAAGCCCCAGAATTAAACGAAAGAGGGCTCCTAAACATGTAAAGGCTTAATGGAGCAAGGAATGAGAGTTTAATGTAGAATCAAGCATCAACATTTGTGCCGTCAAATAATTACTGGATGATAAGTTTGTTTAACATCATGAAGCATTCTTAGACTTCTCTTTCTTTATTACCTGAAATGAGGTATTAAGTCGAAAGTATACGCACTCACGCATAATCGCGAATGTGTTTGCGAACCCAGACAATCCCGGCTTGATCACGATCCGCAGTGATCTTGTAGTTAGGACTAGTCAACGACTTAGAAACCAACTCAAGATCCGTGTAGACCAATTGGGGTGCTGTTACAGAATCCACTAACTTTGCGTTGGGATCAGGGAGGGTTTCAGCAATTTTGTGACTCTAGGTGAAAAAAAAGGACGAGGTCAAGTGAAGTGATAGAGCAATGTTGGTTGGTGAAGCAGAGGGAGATGAAGATACAGTGAAGAACTTTTCCGTTAAGACGAAGGTATGAGCAGAAAACCTATCCGAAAAGTCTCCACCCTCCCAGGGAATGAGGAGAAGGGATTTTTTTTCCTCATCAGTCACAACAGACAACCAGTCAACGTAGAGAGTGTCTACAGGAATGCAGAAAGTTCGTTAAAAAGCAGCTACAAAAGAGGCATCGAAAGGTAGAAAGGATGATCAAAAATTACCTTCCTTGTGCAAATCTTCGATGGGCCAAAACAGAGAGTAGCAGAGCTGTTCGGGGACGTAAAGTAGCGAAGCGACACAAACTAGAAAAGATTGGGTGTTCAGATTTACATTTAGCTAAAGAGGCCCTCCTCCTACTATGATGTGAATTGGCCATGTCACCTTGGGACCAAGAAAGGCAAAGCTCAAAACAAGACGGAGACTGCAAAGTTAAATGATATCGTGAATTCGCGCATGACCACGCAAGCCTTTTCTTCGAAGACAATTCCTTTGCAAAATCGGTGGCACCATTGGCTAAGGCACTCCGAGAGAACGATAACCCCAATTTCGCCGATTCGATACGACACAAAAATGCCAGCTGTGGATGGCTGAATAGGGAAGGATTGGTAGGAATACCATTTAAACTCTGTCGACTCATAAAAAACCATAACAGTCCTGAGTTTTGCAGCATAGCTACAGCAGAAGAGCAAAGCAAGAGCCAAAGGACTAGAAATCATTTATAAGGGAGGTGCCTGCAAAATTGCTGAAAAGAAACAAAAAAACTATTCCAGATAGGCCACCGAGAAGCATTTAAATGAAAATAATGCGGAAATGAGAAATGACAACAGAACAGATTTTCATGAACCTACTGTACATTGTTCGGTTGTTTATGGTGTACTTTAGAGCTTACGCGATGAACCGGTAGTGGGTCATCGCGATTATGGCTAGGGTTAGACGTGCAAATTCAGCAATGCGATCTTCATTCCTGTCTCACAGTCTGACTGCTTAACGATAACCAAATCAGAACAGCCGCAGGGAGAGTAAAGTACGACACTTAAAGCAATAATGATTAGAGTTGGAATGGCACTTTGGACTAGGCAGATGGCATCAGTCTTCAGGGATTCGGTCTCCACGCTGATAGTATGAAGCTCTACGCATCTACCAGCGCTTCTACATGCTTTCAACCTAACTGCTTCCAGACTTGAACGCCTTTTGAAGTCTGGAGGGACCGCCGAGTGGCACAATAGGCTCACCCTAAAACGTTACGATATTCACAAGCCGCTTATTCATGAGTGAAAAGAAAAATGCAGCAATTGAAGTACAGTGCCACAAATCAAGACAGCGCCATCATACAGTTGGGCTGAACTCTTAAACACTTTTAAGAATAACAGAAAAGTTACCGTTAGGAGTAGTGGACTGCTTTAGGCTGGAGCCAAATTCATCGAGAATGTACCAGACATTCCTTTTGATCATGCTCTCCTCTTCATCTTTGTCTAGTGGCTGCGAAAGTTGGTAGAGGCGACAAAATCTGAAGGTTAAGGGAGAAGTACAACTCCAGACGGGTGCATACGGCAACATCACAGATAAGGTATAAAGAGAGGCAGATAAATATAGCACAGCTGTTACCATGTTGATTAGGAAAACTAGAACATTAAACACAAAATTCCTTTCTTTCCCCAAAAATGAAAGGATGTGCGGAATTTAGTGATTTGATTGCCTTCCTTGTTGAACAGAACACAGAACATATCCGATCTCACCAAAGTGGCTCAATCAGGTTCAGTAATAATTGGAGTGCCAGTATACAAATAAAACAGATTTACCAGTAGAATTGCTGTGAAAATCAAGGGACCAAGAAACATTGATCACAGATGCCGCCATTCATTTACCCGCTCTCCCTATTTACTCGAATACATCGTTTAGGCGGTGGTCTGTTTAATTTATTACTAATTTTCAGTGTAGTTTTTCGTTCTACTCGTGACAGCTGAATTATCTGAGGGTGTAAATAGGGGGTGGACAGTCTCCAAAACCTTACACTAGTAGTAAATAATTTTTATTGCATAAAATACGTCGCGTGCCGACAGAGAATCAACAAACCAATCTAGAGCCGCTGAGACAAAATGGCTTCAGATTTTCACCAAGTTGTAAAGTTAGCTGAACCCAACAAAGCTAGTGTAGCAAGATTAACGTTCCACGGAAATGTCTACAAACTCACGACTGTGTCTAGATGAGAGATTAGATGGGAAGCACAGTCCAAGAAGATTAGATAGAATACACGCAGATAAATGGGCCAGAAATTGAGTATTTTTAACCTGCATTTCCCACTGCATCGGGAGGTTTCGATACTGCGGAAACAATTTACGTTCATATCCTATTCTGTAATAATCGTGCAAGCAATGATAACAAGGCAAGACCTAATCTTCAGTGTTGAAAACTTGATGAATCACAAATGTCATGACGAAGACTGAAGGTGGACAGTTGAATTTGAAAAGTCAGCAGCATCTACTGCTAAAAACATAGGCTAAGCTAAAATATCAACTCATTTCCTTTTTCAGTCACGGTGCAGAGGAACGAGCTTCCACAGTTTAAACCAGAAAAAACAACGGCTTGTCGGTCATTATAACAAGTATGATCTAGGCACAGAACAAACTACCCAAATGGGCCACGTCGAGAACAAAAAAGGAACGGATACCAACCACCTGTTAAAATATTTGCTAATGTAAGATCAACCTAAAAGTTATATGTAGGATCCAAGCAAAACCAAAGAAAATATTGCTGAAAAAAGATGAGACCATGGTAAGCAAAATAACCCAATCGTGAAGAACTCAAAACAAGGCGCTGATCTTGAAAATGTGATGGAACAAACAACGCCAGGTAGCCTTTTAAGTAGCCAAACCAGCAATAAACTTAGCAGAATGACAGCAACCAAGGCATACTTCCATAGCTTTCGCATAACTGCTTCAACTACTTCACTTTCATCCTCTATCTCGATGCACATCATTGTCTTCATTCTCTGCAGCAGAGTAGCGTTCGACTCCAGAGTACTCCGTACATCTGGCAGTTCAAACGTCCACGCATGATCGACGAGAAAGACGCTAAACGGTAAGGCGCAAAGTTGTGAGAACAAACCTCTCCGAATCGGAGGCTCGAACCTCGTCCACTTTGACAGAGACAAAGAGTTCCCTTTCGACCACTTCATGTGTGGTCTCACTGGTGTAATTAAGCATGCCAAGTTCGAACTTCGTTGGAGCGTCAAAAATCTTATTCTGTAGTTTGATGTGCACTGAGGGCCAGTAAAGCTCAGGAACCCGCATGGAGATGAGGACAGCACCGTGATCGCGTAGAAAATCGCTATAGGTGTATTGGTCCATTTTGGGAGGAGGAGCTAGATTGAAGGGAACGCAAAGATGGGTTTATATAACGCTTGACACCTGTCAAAGACAAATAATTGTGTAAAAGGAAGTCAATTTATAAATGAAAGGCCAATGGTCAGCTAAGATAGATACATAGGAAGAACAGTAGAAAAAAAGGATTGGCAGAAAAAAGACCCAAAACGTTCACGTAGTTGGATAGGAAAGTTTCGGAAGAGCTGAATCCAAAAAAGGCGGGGAAGAGTTCGGACATGCCCGAAGGCATATAACAATAAATCACCTTAATTTCAAAGGCAAAGGATGGGCTGGATTTAAAGGGGGGCACAAGTAGCTAGTTTATACTTAAGTAGTTAGTTAATAAAATTCCAAAAAGGTGAACAGTTCGCAGAAAAAGTGAATGGAGGTCATTGCAGATTTAGGTGATTTCGCGTGACATTTAGGCTAATGTAAAGCGCGTTTTGGGAGAGAGTTGGAATGGAAAGTGGCAAATTATACAAAAAAGTTTATTCATAATATGAAATTAGGATGTTGAGAGACTGAAAAGTCGTTAAGATGATGTTAAATCGGGGACACATAATCCCATTATTTAGCACCAAATTCTTCGCGTTCAGAGACGAGCTACAGTATCTTCGAAGAGGAACTAATATCACAACAAATTAGGATACTATCATGTAAAACGATCTAGTTTTCAAAGAACAAAGCTAGTAAAAACCACAAGACACATTGGGGACAAAGTAGCCTGCTTTCTAAATATTACACACTAGCCCTGCCTGACCAATCACTACTAAAAACGTTCGCAAGGAAAGATACTGCAGAAATAGCATCTAAAAATACGAGAAAATGATGCAACCTGCATAACACAATGACCAATAAGAAACAGACGAACCACACCTTCTCTAAAATTAGTCATCCCGCCAAATTACACGAACGCACTAAATATATGTTGTGTGGTAGAAATTTCAGCGCAAATAACACATTTTTGACTAAAGATTCGAAGATCATAAAATTTTGCTTCAGCGTGACTCTGCATCACTACTAACCATTTTTAAGGACTTTAGGGAAGTGTTGATTAACATACTTTGATTTGTAGATGTTGGCAAATTTTTTCACTTCCAACTGCCTCAATATGTGTTCAGATTATCATTTTGTATAAAGCACAAGCAAATGCATTCTAGGCAATATTTCTAATGCCCTGTGCATGTGTATGGCGTAGCGCATTACTGATAGATCCAAAGTCGCAAGTTTAACCGGCATTCTCGTATTTGATTTGCATATGCACAGACCGCTAATATGTGCTAGACGTTGATCCTTACTTAGAAAAATTTGGTCGAGCTATAACCAACTAGTAGACCAGTAGACTAACCTCCCGCCTAGAGCTCTTCTCTCACTTAGCTCCTACTTATTAGGCCACTCATTTACACACTGAGTTCATTTATTTCTTTGTTTCAATATTTAGTTCCTTTATTTCATCTATTTTTCGACCTGCTTATTTGCACCAAAATAACAATGGATGCCCGATGCTTCAAAAATCAAGTTTGCCAAAATTAAAGTGAAATCCTTTATCCATCTGAAAAATATGTAGGTGATTTTTGCTTTAGGATTCTGAACAATATACGTTGTAATCATGCATTAAGGAAGAGAAAAGCATCCCGCACAGTTTAACAAATTGTCAGAGAAAAAAACCGAGATGAGGCACCACTTCTACTCTGTGAGAAGAAGGTTTCCAAAGTTAGGGGTCGCTTACATCGCCAAGATGAGCAGCGTCAACAACCCCAGCATGGCAAGAGAATGCGTTCCCAAGCGACAGGTCACTATCTATTGTTTCCTTTGACTGCAAAGTGGAACTATTTTAACCAATAGACACCTACATTTTTGAAGTCCACCATTAGTTCTATAAAGTCTCCAAAGTTAGTTAGAGTGTTGAGTAACTCAAAAACCTCTCCATCGCACGTACTTGTTTGTGAGCTAAAAAACAATCTGACGTAAGTTGTACGAACCTTGCAACCTTGCAATAAAGCAAGGAAATATTTGGTTTCGTACCAATTTTGATAAGGCATTCTACATTGAACACTTTTAAAGACCAAGGAAAACGCAAAAAGTTGGATGAAAAAATGTGCTTTTTAACATTTGCTTACGCAATGTAATCGGAGATGCCTTGCAAAGTTAGTTTCGACGATTTTTCGAGAAGATTTTGTTCGATATAATTACGCATCAAATTATTCTAAGAACAGTTGAAATGAAAACTTTATTTATGCGTTCATTAGAACAATTGCATATAAAGTGCTTTTTTTATTTTCAAATAAGTAGAAAGTGGCAGCACCATTCTTAGCCAATAAACTATCTAGTCAGCGTTCCCAAGATCCGTGGTTCCGAATGGACTCAAAATGCATGGAAGATCTCGGACAAAAATAAAACCTCATACTCCTTGAGAACTATGAAAAGTTACATACTAATAAAAGGCATTAAATCTTACGTATTTTTTATGTATTTCACGAAGAGGAGATGTGTTGTCCCCCGGATCTGTGAAATAAACGCAGTTTTTCTCCATGAATTCCGATTGTAGGCTTTTAAATTCATTACCAGAGAGGTAAAAAACAAGAAAATGACTTTACTAATCAGCATTTCTTCAAGAATTCCTAAAGACTGGTCGAATGCGGATATGTCATTATCCGATCTTTGTCGGTAGAGTAAAAAGTACTAGCACCTACGAGACGATGTCCTGAAATGGGTCTTCATCATAAGATTGTGAAGGTTGCATTGGTAGAGAGTCTAAAACGCAATTCATTTATGATTTTTACCTCCACTTTCCATTTCAGCGCTTGAGTATCTATGCTTATTGGTACATTGCTTTAATCTAGCTAAATACCTTCGACCTTTAAACTACGCAACTGTAAATGTAGAGTTGCACAAGATTTCAAAAAAATGAGTTGTTAATAGAAAAGTAAGCATTTCATTTTTAGGTGGGAGCTTTATGAAAGGAAGTTAAGTTGGTCTACATGTAAAAAATTGTTTAATAAGTGGGTAATTTGTACTGTTTTACTGTTTTGGTGCTTTTACAGGCCATGTGACCCTTTGATTTCTTGCGAATTTTACTTTGCTTTTGTGGCCCATCCTATGGACCTTACCAGTTACACTTCATATGTTCTATAAGTTAGCATGGCATTATATTTCTAATATGTTACGATTTTAATCAAGTCTCGAAGTCAATGGCTTAATATAATTGTAACTAAAATGTAAGATAACAAAAGTAGTGGATCTATCATGGAGAGACAAATATGGGCAAGCTCTTATCAGAAGAGCTGCTAACGACAGCGGACCTTAACATCTACCTCAACCCTGTGTTGCCCATAAAGACTCCTAACAAAGAGACGTATACCATTAAAAAATATTCAAAATAGGCAAATAAGGGTTTATTTACGTTACTTTTATGAGGATGAAAAATACATGAATAACCAGAAGCAAATTTTCGCCTCCACTAGATGAATGAAATCCAAATTGACCTACAGTTAAGTAGCGCTTACTAAAAAAGGAAACAGAAAAAGGATTAGAGATCGCATCTTCTATTTTGTGGCTAGCGACTGGTACGCTAGTTTCCATTGTTGTGGACTGTCAACAGAACTTGAGCAGTGTAAAATCATTATGAACTCTTTAGTACGACTTTTAAATAAAACTAACCTTAAAAAGGGTAAAGCCGTAGAATAAATCCTTTAGGCTAAAGTTAAATTCTTAATTAGTTGCGCCAATGCTTCGTGGGACATTTTTCTAGGTATCGAGTACATTGCGACAACCGATGTGAGTGGTTAGACTGGCGGAAACTCTACATATGACACTCGAAACTAAGTAAAGTTTTTGTAGATATTTGGTACATTGTTTGACTATGTACTAAAGTAAGGTGACACTCAAGTCCAAGCAAGATTTGTTTTCACTTTGAGGTATGGTATTCGAGCCAAAAATCAGCTAACTAACTCTTGTGAAAGCCAGAAATATATCTTCTATTACAGTATCTTAACAAAGACTCAAAAATAAATAGTCTGACTTTGTGAACAATTTCGTCTGTATAATAATTCATTCGCAATGTCTAATACCTGCATACACTGAGCTGGGTAGGCTAATGGTGTGGCCGCCGGTTTCGGTAAAGGCCCACTTTGCTTCTCCACCATTGTAACTTTATAATGCCTGTGTTGTTTGAATGTTCTTTATAATGAGGAGGTGGGTGGAGGAATAGAAGCCGGTGACTAAGGAGCTGTCAACATCCATGAACCCGGAGAAAAGCACCATGTTCAAGCCTCCATAAACCCGTACACAGTCCCTCATTTGCTTTAAGGAATAAATATGACAAATTAAAGCTAGCCCTAATAAAGTTTTTGAGTACCGTCTGCACAAAAAGCTTAATATTTAAGAGTGCTTGAAAACATACCAGCCCATAAATTAAATACTGTGCCGTGACCGTTCCTAATTGTTATGGCTACATAAGATATAATGGTGCCACAGTGGGCTTTTTTCTTCTGTTGCAAAAAGGTCCTTTTCTCAAAAACCTTTGCTTCTATCAACAGTGACATTACATATGGACCCACCTTGTGGTAGTTTTATGTCATTTGGTACTCTTACTTTGTATTTTTGCTGCTCTAATATTATTATAATAGTCTTAGCCTTGCACAAGATGCCTAAGATGCAAAAAGTGCAAAAAATAATTATTTCTTGATGTTGTGGATCGTTTTACTGCACTAATATGCACTCTCTTGAGACTTGCAATTAAATTGAGCCTAGTTGAGGAGGCGGCCTTCATTGTTTCCCGACTTCCACTAGTAGGCCTGGAACCATGGCGTTTGCGAAGTCCAAGAAAAGGGTTCGTTCTAGAACCCAGCGTTATACAAGCAATGTGTTTTCTATGTTTACAGAGGCTCAGATAAATGAATTTAAGGTATGTTAACTAATTCTTGAATGATATTGGGTGTTAAAGTGAATATGATCTATCATCAAATGCGACTTCCTTAGCGCAGATTACTTTTTCGCGGTTTTCTTTTTCGACCCCTTAATATCGACTTTAAAATGGGTGTTGGTGCATGTCCAGAGTCGCAACTTTCTTTTGTGTTGGAGACAAAGTTACTCCTTTACATGTCTCATGATTTCTCTTCATAACTTTTTACTCGTTTCTAAGTTAACTAGCTGTTGTGAACCGCTTTGCTCTGCCCAATTGATGTGTTGATGTCACTGCCCAGAACTATTTGTAACTTTGCAAGAGGTCCATTCGGCATTATTATTGACGTTATTTCTTATCCAAGGGTGTATTCCAAAACTTGGTCGTGTTTAGGTGGCCACTTTTGTAATTGCCTAATTCTGCAGATGAGTCATCTCTATTATTTTTCCAAACATTCGGGTTTTCTCTCATTAATCACTTAACGGCCTTTTCTGTTTTCAGGAGGCTTTTTCCTTGATCGATGGCTCAAAGGACGGAATCATTGACCAGGGCGATCTTGAAGAGGTTTTCCGCTCTATGGGGAAAAACCCATCAGAGGAATACCTTGACGAGATGCTTAAACAAGCCCCCGGTTGCATTAACTTCACCATGTTCCTCACTCTTTTCGGCGAGAAAATGATGGGATGTGATCCAGAGGAGACCATTCTCAACGCCTTCGCTCAGTTTGATCCCAACAACACAGGTCTGTGCAGCAATTTTTAGTCAGAAAATAAGTCTAATGCAACTCATGTTTTGGCTGCATAACTTTAAGTCGATTGTATGAATGAATAATCTGACAGGCTTAAAATATGAGACTTCTTTTTGCTTCCGTAGCGATTGCATTACTGTCAGAAGTACTTGTTTAAGACCTAGCTAACTTTTCTATATGTCATTGAAAAGATAGTTAAGCTTTCTAATGTGTGGAGTCCGGCACGGTTCATTGACTCGCGCGCATGGAGAAAAGCTGCGCACGCATCCACCAACTGAGCTCTCGCCACTGGTTGTTGCTTTTGTGACACACAATTGCTTTCGCACTCTGTGTTTACTGTTTTGCATATGCAAAGCTGTGCACAAAACTCTTACGTTTCTTTGTTCATTTCTCACTTGAGGCATTCTTGCATAATGCGCTAGATGAATCAACAGCCTGTCTGAACTGTGAAGACAGTCGTATTGCATAGCTCCTGTATACAATTCCGTCTGTATGTGGGAAGAGTATGGGAACAGTTAATTAGACTTGGAACCAGGGCGTATCGCTCCACGCTACCGTACTTGTCCGGTTGTGCCCATTTCGCCCTAATTGTCATGAGATTTTAGGTGATTTTGCTGAACGATTTTAATTTCAGACCTTGACTTTCAAGCAAATGTAAAACACAAAAAGACGCATATTCATAGCTTGTTTTTGGTTTAGACACTTTGATCTACCTATGCTGTCTGACATTTGATTGCATATTGCTTAAAAAGTCAATATAAAAGGTAAATATTATAATTTGCAGCTGTTGATTTTGCAAAGTTGCAATCTAAAAGGGCAAATATTTGTCTATTCTGAAGTTATTGGTGCATCATTCTGTCATCTGCCATCTCTTTAGAAGCTAGTTCGTGGAGAACTTACTCCTACGCAGAACGTGAATCCTAGATTGATCTTTGCTTTATGGTAATTCTGTCAATTGCATCGATAAGTCCTACCAGCAGGATTAGAATGTTTTTGACCTAATAAGAATTTGTTCTGCAACCAACTGCGTTAGGGCTTCAAATATCATTGTCCCTTCGCATTGATGTACTATTTTTTGGCTTTTATGATTCCATGTCCGTGACAAAGTGACCGTTTACTTTACTCATCAAATACAGCTAGATTCTGAGAACAAACAGATCCGGCACCCCTGAATGATGTTCATTTTTTCTTGCCTTATAATGAGAGTCTCGTCATCACGCAAGGCACTGTTGCCTGCATTTTGACTAGCGGTGCCCACTGGACTGAGTCAAGACATGTGCTCGGGCTGTTAGTAGTGCGCACAGGGCACTCGCCTCTGGCTGCTATGTGCCACGCCGTCACGGTAGCTTTCACTTTCATCATGTGGTTTTAGCAGTAGAAGCCTCTATTTGACTCGAACAACATCGCATTCATGATGCAGCCTAAGGCTTGAGGCCGATGTTATTTTCTTTTTCTTGCAGGAGTGATCAGCGAGGAGCGACTGCGCGATCTGATGACCACAATGGGCGACCGTTGGACGGACGAGAAGGTGGACGAACTGTTTCACGGTGCACCCATCAAGAATGGGGACTTCAACTACCGCGAGTTCACTAAGATGATTATGCATGGTCAGCAGGACGATGAGGATCAGAATCACCCAGTGGGTCGATAAAATGCCCTCTTGCAAGTCTCTCCTCTTGGGAAATCGCTGTCACCACCAACGTAATCACCATCGCTCACAATACTTTCATTTAGATTTGCACGGAAAATAAACTACCCATAAAAGTTTTCGCTGATTTCAGTAGTTATTCAACCGCCTCCCACTGAGGAGGCAAGAAACGTTTTCCTAGACTTTTAACAGTAGTCAATAGAATGCGGACCCCTGTTTTGAGGCGTTTTTTGTGCTAGAGCCTATCTACCTCTGATGTGCTCCCATAGGATGATGTATTAGCTTTCATTAAAATTTTCGGTTTAGCATAATTGACGGTCCCATCGTTGCCTGGATGAATCTGCAAGTTTCATAGAGATTGACAATCGCAAACGAGGACGTTGTGACCAAGATAAAACTGCTTCTCTAGGAATGGAGGCAGTTATTACTTGATAACATGTGCTTCTTTTGATTGGGGGATGGAGTAAATCGCGCGGCATTTTACCGCATGTTAATTTACTAACTCGGTTTGCAGGTGATGTACAATGGCTTACATGACCTGAGTTACACAACTTGGCACTCCAAGAAAGCCAAAGGAGGCGTTTAAACCTTGGGGAGGACCAGCGCGTATTTGATCCATAGTAAATTAATGAATTCTTAAAGAAATTGTTTGGGTTTTGGAGGCACCTGATGGAAGCCAAAACAGCTCGCTACGATGATTTGGAATACCTTGTGGAACCCTTTAAAACGCGTAACTGTCAAATTTCATCCATTATGGAGTACAGATATGGGTTTGTTGGTGCTTTTTGTGCTCTCTACTACTTTCCTTCTATTTGGAAAACCTGTCAAATATTGGCCAAACCTAATGGAGGAGGATGGAAGTTGTCTGCCTCACGTCATTTTGAAAGTGAACGTTGATGAAGCAGTGGGTTCAGGTCTCCAACCAGGAGAAAGTCGAAGTGAAAGCCACCAAGGGGTCCACTTGTATGCCATGCAATAACATGACAGGCAGAAAGTTAAAGTCTGTCAACTCCTCACATGCACGTCACAAAAGACCGTCATTTGAAAAGGGTTGTTTGGTGGTAGAGTAAATAACTAGACGGGAAGTCGCTTTTGTACTGTAAATGATCATATCGGTGATTATCCTCAACCGCTTGCTACTATGGGGTAGTTATGAGCAGAATAAAACATTTGTACACAAAAGGGTATACACATCCTCGACTCATTCAGTCACCTTGCCCAGCAATCGATGGACGGAGTGACGTGTCACCACCAAAACTTCCAAAGTCCCCTCCATCGTTGAAGAGCCCAACACATCGGCGTAGAAAGCATCCGAGTCCAAATTAACCTCCTCCTTGAATAACCGTCGTCTGGCAACAACTTTGGTGTTTTCTGGATTCATCAATGAGAGTCGAAGATCCCGCTTCACCGCTGAGGTGCTCAAAAGACAGGCAGTTGGCTGATTACTTGGTAGGCGGGCAGCGGAGAGAAGGTATCGGGCATGAGGAGGCGTCTTCAATCTCTGCCATTGGGAATTATCTTCCTCGGAAGCCAACGGCCACGCAGTGAAATGTGAACGCATGTTGTCGAAGGCGTAGACACCGGTGCTGATGTCTGTGGAGACAACAGGATTGAAGAAACCGCAGTAGTTCGCCTGACGTTCCGCGTTAAATACCTTAAACGTATTGAAACCCAAGGCAGCCATTGATGCAGAAGCCTACTCAAATACTTTATCTGGCATATATGCAACAAACTATACAAACCCCAGCAAAATTTCTCCATTTTTTCCGTCACCCTGTGCCCTTGAACTTGCGTGCTGGTATTGCGAAACTATGCAAATTTTAAATCCATTGCATCTAACGTGATGACTTAGACATTACATTACAAGACTTCGTAAACACACCTCAAAGGAACAACCCCAATTTTGGCGACTATCAGGACCCTACAGGAAGAAGACTACTGCTGTGGATGACTGAACCTGTGGGGACTCTCAGCAAAAATGAAGTATCATGACCACCTCAACCTTTGGCTAGTAATATACAAAGAATATGTTCAAAAGAGTCGAGACTATTCTTAAAGATATGATTGAAAATGACATCAAAACAATGGAGTGTTATATGCTTGTAACAAGAACTTCTGCGACCGAAAGAACAGAGTGAGTTCCATAGTTGTGGTAAACTGAAAACTAAAAACCAGCGGATGACTCTTGATAAAGTCCTCCCAAGTAACGTTAAAAAAATCCGAGGAAAATATAGTTACCAAAAATAAAATAGCTTCTCCAAAACAATTATTTGCGCAACTTTTCGCAGCAGCTTATTGTTTTTATCATGTACTCGGTCCAAATAGTTGCTCCAATTTACAATCTAGTATTGCTAAGTCCGAAGGGTTGTATTCCATTTGCGAAAGATTGGCTAGATTAATTACCGTCGAAATCAGTTGATCCATTAAAGTTCTTAAGGCTACTTAATTCGAAAGCAACACCGACACCCAATCTTACCTCAATTAACCTATCCTCAGGAGGAGCATTGAGGTCTGTCAGGCACACCAGACCATCATCAGCACAACTAAGCAGCCTGGAAGACGCAGAGGGGGGATTCGTCTCAAAGACGAGATGATTCACATCATCAGAATGTACATCATTCAGCATTAGCAAAGGTCGCCCCATCTGCCGTGTGTCCCAACAAATCAAATAAGCAGAGGATTCCCCTTCACTATCATTGTAATTGTCGCCGAATCCACTTCCATCGATTTCTTCATCAAGACTCATGCGTGGACGCTTACTTTTCTTGGCCTTTTTGTCGGTTTGCTTTCGCTTACCAGTCACTACACAAGAACCGGCACAAACAAGGCGTGCGTCAGAGCTAACCGCTGCGGCATAGAATGTAGCACCTTTGGGCAGGAAATTGCGACCTGCTTCTGAAGCGCTAGTCTGTAAAAAAAATTGGTTGAAATCATACACCTGCTAAAACTTTATAAGTAGAGAAACACCTACGGACTGCCGAGGATTTCGGAGATCCCACAGACGAACGACACCATCAAAGTCTCCGGAAAGGAATGTGTTAGTGCTTGTACGAGCGAAGTCCATGACAACGCACCTAGAAGAGCCTTCAACGCGATAGGAGGACTTTTTGAGGGAGTAAAAATCGAAGAAGGCGAATTGATCCTCGAGGCAGGAAACTAAAACGCTGCCTGGTGTGGAGATAGCCGCTGTAAAGGTGATCCCTTCAAAAATGCGTTTGCGCAGACTTTTTAACATTTCAACCGCTAAATAGCCTGCTAAATAGTAAAAAAAGTGTCAGAATTCGTAGAGAACTGCATACTTTCATACTGGCTTATAGATTCAATTTTTTGGCAATTTAAAACATATTTTACTAATACTTGAGGTGAGGATTTGTTTGAAGCACAGCAATGTATGATATTTTTGAACGAAAGGTACAAATGAAATACGAGGTATCATCTAAAGCTGCAAAGAAAACAGTTACCCACATCTATTAAACTGTCGACATTTGCTATGGAAAATAAAATGCAGCCATTAACCACATAGAAGATTCCATCAATTCAACGAACTGAAAGCAAAAAACGAAACACCCTCAGCCACACATGCAAAGTGCTAGAGTAGCACTTTTTATTTAATGTACAGGACTCACAAGAGTAGGGAAGTCTATAAAAAATAGGACCCGACAGTTGTAAAAGGCTGACCAGAAGAATAGGTATAACTAACAAGGATAAACCAGAAAGAACTCAGGACTAGAAACCACACTAAATTTATAAGTAAAAGTAACGTCACCAATAGAACGACCAATCCAACAATCCTGTTTTATTTACGGCGCGTCAGAAATTATGCCTATCTCAGGGTTCCGCCGAGAATAGCTGACACACAGAATTACATGGTTCTGCCAAAAAAAGGCGAGCCCCCGTCATTATGAGAAGATTTATTTAGGCAAGCTTTAAGTTATGCTAAAGTCAAAAACCATACGACAGCTGCTACCAACGCGTCACAACATTAGCCTTGAAATAAATATAATGGAATTTCGAAAAAATCACAGCCATTTTCTGCCATTATTTAGGTCACAAAACTAATGTTGAAAAGACTGCAAAGCATAGATCTACTTTTAAAACTCGTTGCCTGTGAGTCAATCAAAGCAAGTGGTATTTATGTCCAAAATAAATTCCACAATTCAAATGACCATGCCTTAATCTTGACCATTCCCGATAGTGGTTAAAAGTAAAACATACACATCTGAAAGTTAAATTTGCTAAACAGAGATATAACATGGGGAGGTCCTAGTGATAAACCTGTTTGAACCTCTGCAACGGGTTTAATAAGCACAAAATTATATTTTATTGAATTTGGTGGTAATACCGATGCCTATTTGTCTTTAGCGATAGTGATCTTTGTTAGCAACAACTCAGAAGCGTTTACCACATCTCGCATAATCATGGAGAAAAATTGTAAATACCAAATACTGCATTCTTTGGCAGACTTTTTGCCTGCACAACTTAGACGCAAAATAACCGCCGTAAATAATTTCAAATAATTATTTGTGGGTTTGCGCTACCCTTCTGTTTAGCAAACATATGTACACCCAGTTTTACCCATTCCGTGTGCGGCGGTTTTAAGTCTTGGTGTATTCTGCAATGAATGTTCGTAAGCGCAACGCTAGGGTGGCTTTAAATAAGGTATGCAGGGGTGCGTTTCGTATATTTAAGCACATAGCCAAACAATTCATACCTTTCCTCCTTAACTGCACGCGAATATGACCGTAAGCGAAGACGTGTCGATTTCGATGTTTCTACGCATTCTCATCGCTTCCCTTTCATCTGGGATGGCGAATTAGTACCAATAAAATATGCTGATAAAATTTTCGCTAGTCAATGGTTATCAAATGAAGAAATCTTGATTGGCACGAAATGTAATCATTTAGGCGTCGTCAATCTGAAAACACATAAAATCTACGATATTCCGCTCCTTGAAGGGTCAACAAGGTATTTTCTTACCAGTAAAGTAATCTTCTTTTAGAACCACGTTTTTTGAGGAACCTTGTGGTTGTGGTATTCATGCTATCCAAAAGAATACAACGGGTACGCTCATAGCTACTGGTGGTGAGAACGTGAATGATGTTGGCGTTTACAAGCTTCCCGATTTGTCACCTCTTTGTGTATTTGAGGTTTGTGATATTATTAGTACCCGTACTAAGTTGTTTTTTCGCTTGCTCAGTTCGAATACTTGCCTCTTCCATGCTTTGATGAACTTTCTTAACACCACGTGTTAAAATACCGGGTTTTCTAGGAGGGTTCGTGTCCAAGTGTTTGTTTCTACTAAGGTAATTTAACGCTGATTTCATTATTAAGTCACTTTTGATCGCGCATCGGTGTACTGTCATCGAGTCGCCGGATAGTTATAGGACTACACTGAAGCGTCAACTAACGTGAAGCACTTTTTTAACTTTAGAAGCGACACAAAAACTGTATATTTGATTTGCGATGGGTTCAAGAGGAAACTCTGGCTTCTTGTTCGCGCGATTCCTGTTTGGCCTTGTGGCGGTTACCACAGCACGATATGCATTCATCTCCAATGATCTCATACGACCCCGGCTCCTCCATAAATCGCCCTCGACCTATATCCCGTCACCCCTTAATAAGTACACCTGTTGCTTTCACCCTCTCCCGAACTCCAGACGATCGATTTAGAGCACTTGAATACCTTCCCACCCGCAATATGCTAACTGTTGTCTCCATGTCGCACTACTTTTACCTCTATGACCTAGATTCTCTGTTCACATCCACTTCGGGCAACCAACAACCCTTTTTTAAAATGCCTCTTCTTTCCTCCGATAAGGTAAAATCGGTTTTCACTTGGTATCAGTTTGATCACTTAAATTGAAGTCCTTTGTTTTTTTTTCACTTTCTAATTTTAGGAAGCTGTAGCTTTGCGACGATGGCCAAATAATCCCCATGTTGTGTCACTGGCGACTCATCGCTCAGTGCTTTTATTCGACATCCGTTGCCGATCACAGATCCGACGGACAATTCCTCGCATAGTAGAACCGCCCGCTTCCTGTCGCTCCTGTGTTCGGTCGCTCAATTTTTCCGGCAATATCCTTTCTTACGGCACTTCTTTGGGCAAAGTGCATTTCTACGATTTGGTGGCTGACAAGCATTTGAAGAATCATCTTGACACTGAAACTGTATCCAAGAAAGCTACATCTCCTCCGTGTACGTATGGGAGTTATTCCGATTCCTTGGACGACAGTCTCCCAGACTTGGCTGCAAGTGTTTATCCAAACGGCTTAGACAGCACCTTGGAACATCAGGAGGAAGAGCCAGGTGAAACGGAACTCTCCTTTGAGTTTTCGACTGACATTCCCTCTTCTGCGCCCAGTGATCTGCCAGTTTCTTCGGACTCTGAGAGGCTTACTGACATCGATGTGCATCTGATCAATTTTATCAGTTCTCTTGCTGTTCGTCCACAGGTTCGGGAACGAGCTCTGCAACAGTTTCGGCTCGTCACAGCCGATCTTCGACGCAGAATTTCCAGACACAGTCTTCGTGTCACGTTGGAAGCTACAGATATGGAAAATCCAATCGTACAGGTTTCCAGTGATGAGGAAATGGTGGGAGATAGAGAGGAAGAAGATGGAAATAGAGGGATGCAGGTTAACGAGGTCGTGGATCAAGCACATCCACCACAGCCACCTGGGGACTCGGTGCTTTTGGAAAACTTGACTCTTGATAATTTGAACTGGATAGAGAGCAATTGGCATTCTGTTGGAACTAACAAAGCTGTCTACACTCATGAGTACGATCCCAGTGGTTTGCGCTTGTTTACTGCGGGTGGTCCCATTGGGTCCGCTTTCTCAGGCAACTTCGCGGTACTCTGGGATTAAGCTAGATAGGTCTTTCCTCTTCTTCCTGTGAATTTCGCATTTTACTTGTAATTATAATCTGCCTTTTTGCGACGATATTACTACCACATCAACGACGACGACTACTATAACCAGGAGGGGTTGACGAGGTTGTTTGAGGTCATTTTTGCTACCTTCTCTTTTCCTAATTTACACGTTAGTGTTTTCTCTCGAGACTTTACGATGTTTTTGGTGGGCTTCGACGGGGCGTTTTTTTGTGTTTCGTGTACATTGACTATCGCCATTGCTGTCGAAGTCTTTCCTGCCGATAATAAATCTTATCTGTGGGTGAACACGCCTTTTTTTTTCCAATTTTTCCCTTTATTGAAATGGTCGTGGATTCTTTACTCATGAAATTGCATAGTCGGTGATTGATATGGTGGTAATACCGATGCGAATAATCCATGCACTCACTTTGTTATTAGAATCAGCTACGATGCGGGCTCGATTTGCACCAATGGCAAAAGTCTCTGCGCTATGCAAGTACAATTAGTTTGTGACAATCTGAAGACTTTGCTGTGTTCAGCAGCTGTACTTAGTAAGCCGTGAGCCGAAGTAGGTTCCTAACACTCCATTCTTTATCTCAGCGATTGACAACTGGAATTGGCGCTACCGAAACAGTGCGATCTCTTTATGTACTTCAAATGTTTAAGCAGGACAATTCGCTAATCGGCGTCACGTCGACATGTCCTGTTTATAGTGGTGTGGCTTGACACTGGTAAACGCAGCGTTTCACCAATGACTTGGTTTTCTCTATTGTTCCAAGATTAGTAGCTCTTTTTTTGTAGCCTAGTAAGCAAGCATGGAGCCGTGGCGTTATCCACCCCAACGCATGATTTTCGACCGACCACCCCCATTGCTCACTTATCGACAACCAGGACCACATGGAATGCCGGTGGAACCTCCCCCTAACTTCCTTCTCCCACCACCGCCCCCTCCTATCCCATCTCCAATACTCGATACCGCTTCATCGGTAGTCTCCGCCTGGGAGGCTGAATTTGGTCCAACCTTTCAACAACGACGAGAAGAGCTGGATGCTAAGAGGCGAATTTCTGTTGTTGATTTTAAAAAGAAGCTTGTTAGATGGAAGGAGCTATTGGAAAATGCCGGGAACGCCAGCCCTGGGGTACGTGACCCTCTTCACACGCGCGAGAAAATGCACCTTTCCAAAACAATACCTCTACTCGCTAATTTAATAGTAGATCTTGATTGTGACGATGGTGTTTATTTAAAGCAATACATAAGTTTCTGGTGTACAATAACACAAAGTCTGTCCATTTCATTAGCTAAATACGGGAAAGTGTTTTTTTAAACGAAAATAGACTTGCTAAGTAATTTTTTATTTCGTTTCAGGAAGAACTTGAATGTCTTGAGCGAGAATGTACCGATCCTGAACTCCTGCAGATAATAAAGAGGAAAATTGGAAGGAACCGGCGAAGGAAAAGATTAGTATGCTTTTAGCAAAAAAACTGCAAATTATATTCCCTTGTTTTAGGGTGAAGACATACCGATTGTGTTACCAACTAGTGTTGGAGAGGTTCTATCACGACTGTCTTCAGCCGATGCATCCGAGCCGTCGCCGCTGCCATCGTCAAGGTGATAACATGTTTTTTAACTAAAGAAAATCAGTGGAAATGAATTCTCATCCCCGTTAATATATTTTAGCCAGTGTAGTGCTCCTTTGAGGAAGACAGAAAATACAGACGCATTGCCCCTCACAAAGTACCTATCGGGCTTGAAAAACGCATCGGCCTTTTGTCAAGAAAAGTTACGGATTTTGAACAAGTTGAAGTATTTGCGCGAGGCGCGTGTCCTTCAATTGCGAAATCAAGGTATGGTTAATTTCTTCCTTCTCCATTTGCAAACTCTTCTCAGGAAAGCTTATTCCAGAAGAACTGGACGAAGACTTTGAAAAGAAAAGGCATTTTATTCAGTTGGAGATCGAGTCGATGCAAAAAACGATCAACAGACTGATGAGACGACTGGAGAGTGCGAAGCAGGGATCGGTCCAAGAAACGCACCAGCCAGCGCTGTCATCTGATGACGCTGTGACACCGAGCGGTCTCCCGGAGGGTGTGCATTATCTCCTTTTTGGTTCGCGAAATGCTGGTAAACTACCTTAAAAATGCTCCGATTAGAGTAAATCTCTCAACGTTTTAGAAACAGCACAGAAACAAATAAGTTTGGGCAGTTTTTTTATGGGTAAAAAATAAATGCTTGCTGAATGCTTCTTAAAATCTTTGTAGTTGTTAAAGTGGTCGCCATTATGATCTCTCGGTTTTTTGCTCCGAATTCCACTTTTATAATGATTCCCTAGAAGCCAAGAATAAAATCTACCCTTAACCGCGTCTATCTTACCTTTACTTATCTTCCATTCTACTTCGTGTTTCTGCATGGAAAGGCAATAATTTAAAAAAATGTGATGAGAATGTGGGGGATGAGCATGATACTGTATCTCCCTCTCTCCCACCCCATCATGTCCAGGTTTTGTGGCACCTTGAGGTGTTGTGCTGTCGCTTCTTGTAAGGGTGAGAAAAAGGCTTTTCCAACTGCTTTATGAGCCTTGACTGCTTCAAGCTGTATCGCATAAAACAGATCTCAATCGTAACCCTTTAGACTTCTGCGAGTGAACTATTCATAGGCGTAAACGGTTTCTTCCGTCTACCAAACCTGAAGTGAGTGGTAGTGAGTCAGTTAGCAAAAAAATCTCATCCCAGTCATGCATTTTCATAGCATACGTAGGCGAATTGAATGACACCAAAAATGGGTAGTTTTTGAGGCCTCTTTTCATCTGTTGATACTTGGTGTGTGGAACCCATTTGGTTAGTAGCTTCCACTGCCGCTTTCCCTTCTCAGGTAATGCAAGTGTAGACACTCGTATCAAACATTGCTGGAAGTGATTCTCCCATTATTTACCCAGTAGTGGCACGCAAATCTTCATCACTAAATATAAAGTGTCCATCTGAACTCATTACACCATCTATCACCAAAATGAACATAGGTAAAATTGCTATACTTGAGCGGTACGCGATCTTCCGACTTGCTACGGCCTACCTCACTCTCTCCGGGCTTGACCAGAAGCTTCTATCAAATCCCTGGAACAGAGTTCAACGCCATTCATGAAGTGAATTAGCTCGACTCGCATAAGGCTCAACTGCTGGAGTGCAGGCTGTCCGTCGTATCGTGTCTGTGTTTTGTGATGGTGCGTAAGCAAATGATCACACATTTTTTTACAAACTACACAAACTTTCTTTGGTCATCTGATAAAATTGTGCTTTGATTTTCACTATTCTTTCCTTCCAGTGGTTTATGGACTATCAGATGCCTCATTCTTGCTTGTCCCCAGTCTGAGAGTCTAAATCCTACCTTAAACACACGCATTCTCTTGTAATTCCATTTTAAAAGCCTCAAATCTGAGATGTTTCTGCTTTTCTTCGTGAAATAAACAAGTGATTGAAATGGTTAACTAGGGGATTATATTTCAGTCTCTGGTTTGCGTAGGAAGTCCTCCTCTGGAAGGCATTTGTAATTCTAGGATGAAGTCATCTGGAACCAAGGTTGTGGGCATTGATAAGGTGACTTGAAAGCCATAGCAGAAGAATATCTAGTTCCGCATTAAGTAGGAGCGCTTTCCGACTGCTTAAGGGGACCAAATCAACTGGATAGGGAAACTTTGTAGATGAGTCTTGCGGAATTGACTAGAAGTATAATGTTAATAGACTCAAGGTCTGAAAAGGTAGTGTATATTGAATAATACCTTTTTTCAGTCTACAGCATTGTGTTCATTTTTTTTAACGTCATCGGAGTTGAGAGGTAGAGGCAGACCATAAAAAGCCTCGCAGAACAAGGAACTTTTGCCATAACTTGATCTTTGTCGCGAAATCCGAACTTTTTCTGCCTTTGTGAAGTTGCATACCTGTCACTAACAACATTTCAGAATGCGATGTTGTCACTCGCCAGATTCGTCATCTTTATGAAAATGAGCTATATGCCCCTTGACATGGGCTAAGGGATATTCTACTCAACTTTTGGGAAATTATTCGTTTTTTTTAATTAAATAGGGAGCGGACTTCAAGAGTCCGCATTATTGAATTGCGACCTTTATACTGTCTCGACCTTTGCTTAGGTGAAGATCCTCTGATTCGCCGTGTTCTAGGACAAATTTCCGAGTTCTGCCACAGACTGCTCGAAATGTCAATGAATTTGGACACTTAGCCACATTCTGGTCGGTACATTTAGCTTTGGGACCAAGTCACCTGCTGCCTGAGAGACCTGTGCTGAGAGCAAAGTTAATAATGGTTATGTTCAACGTTGGTGGAAGCGGTAGATGCATCCATTAGCATTGAGGACAAGGATGACTGTGAGACTGATCTTCGTCCCTGCTGTTTAAACTGAGCTCAAGATCTGAACTTGGTGACTGTCCGATGTATTCACTAGACCAACTGTCTGCATTCTATGTGTTCTGGACTTCGCGCCACTTCTCGGGGTCTATCGAAGTGCTCTTACAAACGACTCTAGCCAGAAACGTGACGTTTTAAACTGATTTTGAATATACTTTCGCCTTTTAGAATGGGCCCTCTTCCATCCTCCAATAATTAAGGCTTTGTTCTGTTTACCGCCTTTCAGACACCAACGTCCGTTGGAACAAGTTCTACTGTCAAGCGAACCGCAACTTCTGCGATTTCCTACGAATAAGGTAGGTAGGCAGCCAGGCAGGCAAATTGCGCTTCGAATAACTTGTCATTCGTATCTCTCACTGATGATCGTGTGAAGATGTCAGGCCTTCAATCTTTCATCAGTCTTATGGAGAAGAAACACGGTAGTGATGGTGACAATGTGATGTCAGGGCATCAAGGACATACAGAAATACTTGGTGATTAGTACGAGGGACGCTCAAGTCAAATTGGAAATTGAGTTTACGAAAGTCTCACCTTTTTTATTCCACATAGCTTTCAGCTCCAAGGAAACCCTTCTTAGAATAAGTCCGTTTTAACTAATCTGTCTTGGTGCTCATGGTGCACCAACTTTTCAAAATTGCGCATTCATTTCCAACGTTTATTTAGGAAAGAATTGTATAATTTTAGCATGGGTTATGCAACGCTTAGACGGGTGACCCACGCGCCGCCTTAATGTCTATAAGTCTAAACGTCCATACGTATTACGAGACCTAATAGCAACAGGATTGAAAGGCAAAGTCGTTAGATGAGTTGACATTTTGGAAGACCTGGGCCGAAACTAAGGCGGTGGACGAAAGTAATTGTCGTGAAAATAAGAGGTCTTTTCACCTTACTCTAGCTATACATAACGAGGGGCTCTCAACTAGATATTACAGGTATAGAGAGGGATGCTGCCGTGATGGTACTGCACGCAGTGGTAAGTGTGACCTAGTACCCTCCGTATTTGCTGGTGCACTTGTCAACCGGTAGTCAAGACACCTTTAATTGCGGTGAGATGGGCGGCAACAGCAGCAGCGCATGCATATGACGATGGGGTAATGAAAGAAGGCTTAAAAGCCTCCAATATCTACCTATACCTGTAGAATGCCTCAAGCAAAGTAAGGTGTGGTGATACGACGCTCAACATTAAGACGTCTGAATGGTGCCGAGGTCGGGAGGTTGCACTTCTGTACTTTGCTTACGATGTCGATTGTGGTAATTCGCGGCTCATCATCTCTGTGAACATTCAGACGACGCGTGGAATACTCGCCAAATTGCTGCATAACCCGTGCTGAAATTACATCTAACGAATATTTGCATAAAAACGGTAAACACGAATGTGAACATCTGCAAATTTCGAAAAATTTGGGCACGCTGGACTTGAAGCCAGACGACGTGGAGCAGTTCGCTCTAGGATAACTCACACGTGCCGACAACTTACCTGAGGCTTCTTTAAAATTTGCCTCCATTCATAAACTCACCTTTCAGTGTGGTTTGATGGGCTTCGTATCACTAGTAGACCTTGACGTTATCACAGTTTCCGTGTCAGTATTCAAACGTTTGAATTTAACAGAAAAAATTGGTGTGGTGAAGCGGAAGTCAGGTGACCGGGAGGTATAAAATCAGTCATTTTGGAGCTTATTTGTATTTCGACCCTGCTTTGAAGTTTTGTGAGTTCCTGCTTTGTTTTTACTTCTAGATCTCGATGGGATGAATATCTGGTCCCTTCGGATTCCATGAAAATGCAGGATGTTGTGGATTCCAGTAGACACCCTCCCTCACTCCTGCCTATTACTTGGCAATTACCTCCACCCTAACTCTATCGAACAAAACGCTGTTTGTGTGTCTGTAATGTCTGAGTAATTGTAGAGATGTGTAAATTCAATTCTCAGTCGTTTGGCTTGCCAGTCACGATGGATCAAACTGCTCATTTGGCTAAGTGTGCGAAAGTCGGTGCACAGCTTTGCATCACGTGGATTTCAACTAGAATTTTGCACGGTCTAGTGCTCTACGGAGAGCACACTCTGCATGCCCCTAACTTTGAACAGATTAGGTAAGGAACGCAAAGTGAAGCCTTCAAACTACATCTTGCCTTTCACTCCATTCCACCTTGATACCGCCTTACTGACCAATGCACAGAACACGAGATTGGAACGGTTATCAGGAGCTGGCATGCCATCAAGTCCCCCTTTCGTTAGGCCCCTGCAGATTCTGTCGCCTGCGGCTGATGTCTTCCGGGACGTTGTGGACTTATTGGTCTTTGAAAGTGGGCCCATTAACGCCGCCAAATTACAGTGCTCGAGTTACGGGTTCACGAGTCTGATGGAAGCAGACAGAAGGATTGGGCGATTGGGATGGTCATTGTCGATCAACTCGAGCCTGGCAAGGGACGACATTTGAGAGGAGTGGGTTGTGGAAGAAAACGATATTTGTCTTGGCTAGCTCTATTTGCACGAGCTCTCTAGTCTGCGTGGTTGGTAAGTCTTCCCTCGACTTGTATGACCTGTTAAGGATTTTGATAAGGCTCGGAGTGCTACAATGCATTTCTAAAGTACCGTTCACGATGGAAAAGGGCAAAAAATCATAACTGTAGCCTAGCAATATACTTCTAACAAAATCTTTGCGAAAGTTAGGGGTAGTAGTTCATTTCAGTGACTTTCTCTTCGCTAATGCGACTAAAATATGGGAAATGGAGTAGGAGCATTGCACATAGATGTGGTACAAATTCGACAGGAAAATTGACGAAGATCACGTTTCTTGAGTGACAATTGAGTTGCCCCATTGGTGAGTGAGTCAATCACTCACTTGCACCTTGGCTACGCAGTTGTTAATAATGCTTGTGTAAAAATTGCCATACGCCCTCCTGTTGAGTACCTTATTGCATTTGATGTTAAAGCTTGAAAAGGAGTTCTTGCTTTGTTCACATGAGAGCCCTTCCGATCTACTGGGCCGGATCGGCCTCCATGTTCGCGGCAAGGAGCTCTGGTTGCGTCGTTAATCGCCCACTCCTTCTGCATATTCATCATAGAGCTCCATTTAGTCTCGCGGCAGCAACTTGGGCACTACAGCATACTATACAGTTCCTAGAAGAATGGGAATAGATTAGAATGTATTATGATCTGCATTGTCGACGTTTCTGGACGCTCAATTTTCCTTGTTAAACACGGGTATCCGAAGCCTAGGGTAATCAGGAGAGAGGGTAGATACAGTAGAGCCTATGTGTAGCACGCAACTACCCCCTTGTTGATTGTAGTAGCCTCATGAATTATAGCAAAGCATAATATTTATGGTGGTCAGTTCCTTTTTGTCAAACGTAAAACTTTTCTTAAAGAGGGCGTATATTTGCCAGAAAATCAACTCCAGCTAAACAATTAAGCAATCTATACAGTCAAAACCTATTTAAAAATTAACCCTGCTTTTAGGTAAATGTCCTCACGAAAATCTGATGGACGTAAGAAACGCAGGCCTTGTAGACCACCAACCCTCTTTTAGCATCATCTCTCAAGTAAATCGCCCCCTCCAGTGCAGTCCACCTGACTGCCGACGTGGTAACTGAGCCACTTTGAGGTTAGCGGGATGTCCGACTGATGTTGAACGAGTTTGTATTGCACCTAAGGTTTTGCCTGAACTAACTCCTTTCTAGGAGGTCCGAGGTCGACGCCAAAATGGCACTCCGATGGCAGCCAAAAGACTTGTGAAATTTAATTTCGTAAGCACTGTTTACTTCGCTTACTTTGCGTCACCCTAGTGGCAAAGAAGTGAAAGTTGTTTTGAGTTGCGTGGAGAGCACGAAATGTTTCTTGTACTAAGTTTCTGCACTGGAAGTACTTTAACACAAACTCTCGGAGCAAAATCAAGTTGAGGTCAGATTGGTGTGGTCTTTTTCAAGGAAAGTCTGTTAGTTTTCTCCAGCACTTTTCCTTTATTTCCCACATTTGACAACCAGCTGCGTCAAGAACTGTTATTGGAAAAAAGTTACTGCTAAAGCTATTCGCGCATCCAAACAAGATTGATGATGAGTAAAGTGTAAATTGTGTAAAAAGAGAAGCATAAATTTGGCTTACCCCTGAAGGGCGTGCCTTTTAAAGGTAACCACCATTTTTCATGCAGGGTCAGGATTTTCTGCTGGCAAATTTTGTTCTTTTTTTTTAATTCGTCATAGTACGACTTTCTGAATTTGACCTTAACGCTGATGGATTTGGAAAGCTCGCAATCTGGAGTTGTCGCATGGCGAAGTGAAGTGGAATGAGGTTTAACTCATATTCATGACTCACCACATTCATGTGACAATTTCTTAACTGAAGGCGTAAAGCGCACGGAGCAGAATATGGAACGCTGTCGTCAAGGTTTGCCATTGTGACAAAAAGCTATTGGTGTTATGATGCGTAAAAAACCTAATAAAAGAAAATGACAGCCTGGGAGACCTCCCCTGACTGGTTGGAATCGCCTCAATTAGAAGGTTGCCAATCGAAGGTGCCATATACGGATGGAATTCGCCCTGTTGTGGCACTCACAATTTCTGCACCTCTGTAATGCTCACCTTAGTAGAAGATGGGTGAATCGCAACCACTGAGGAGGCAGAAACCAAGACGACAAATGCGGTTCTGTTTGAGGAAGAAAGGCGAAGGCTGGGCCGCTTGAATCTCGGCGCAACTTGCCGATGTTCAGGTGATGTTCCACCACCATAACTCTTTCTAAAAAAGGTGGCAACAAAGGTACTATTATTTTTCAGTAAATAATTGATATTAATTTCGTTGGCCAATCAAAATTCAAGAAAATCACTTTTCAGATCACTGAACAACCCCCTGTGTGCAGAATTGCAGTTTCACAGGAATGATTGATTTTTATGACACATGCAATCCCAGTATTTTCAGTCACCACTAAAAGCGGTTTCGCCATAGAACAGTCATGACTTGCCTTCAGAAGCACACGCACACACATGCGCACACACACTAGCCAGCCAAACAGCGGAAGACTGCCCCGGGTGCCAAAATGCGCAGGTATAAATTAACGTGTTAAAGTGAAGTTGAGCTCAGGGTAGTCAGCGCAATGACTTTGCAATGTATGCACTCCAACTTGGAAAACACCAGCCCCGTATTAATGAAGTGTGTGGTGAGTGGATTCTGATACAAAAATTGTCAAATTTACCCGCTGTAGTACTAGATATCACACTGATTAATTCTTCTTGCAGACCAATGAACACGTATTAGCGGCTCCAGGATCCAATAACCACCTGCGGAGAAGTGCCACTGCTCCAAAAAGATGAAAAAGAATCTGTGCCGAAGGGGTGAGTGGTTCTCTCACACCTATTAATAGGTATTTTTATTAGTTCAGAGCGATGTAAAAACTTTTATGCCGACTGATAAGTTGATTTGTTTTTAAATAAAGAATTCAGAGGATTAGGCGATTTCATTTATTCGTGTCAATCGTAATTTGATGTTGTTGCTGTTGCTGATGGCGATGTACGCCTAAGTCCGCTAACTTGTGAATACAAACATTACAGCCGCATTATAGTGGGAAAATATCAATGCAATAGCAATTATAGGACAAGTAGAAATCAGATTCGGTAATTAGAATTGAGATCTGGAAACCTTTTTGCAAAATTGAATCACCGATAGCATAACGAACGAACACTCGGGTGAAATGGCTCTCTACTTCAGTAGCAGAGACATCCTTTACTTGATTAAAGAGTCCTAAATTTTCCTGTCAAAAAGGAAAACATACTAAGGCAATTAGCCAGACGAATCCACACTATTGGCATATTTTAAAATTAATTTAAATATCGTCTAGCTGTCTGCAAACGTTATTGAGGAATTATCCACCTGGAAGGGGATACCGTGTCTCGTGAGCATCAAGCATTTGATGTCATAGGGCTTCAGGAAAGGAGGTTGTTTCGTGCTCCGCTACACCTCAAGGATGAGGCACCAAAACATTCAAGTTATTTCGTATTGTAGCAATACTCACCATCAGGACAGAAAATATTCCTTTACTTTGGCAAAACGAATGGGAATAATATGCAGGACTAACACGTATGGGACTTTATAAAAAAGCTTTATTGACTAATGATAACTAAGTAATTGATGGTAAACGTTACTATCATCAAGAACTGAGCAAAGTGGTAGGGTATGCTGACCTATTTGTTCATCTTCTTCAAACATTTTCGCATTGGTTTTCCCTGTTGGAAAACATGCAACGAATGATTATTTATTTGGACCGCAGCCAGAACAACTATTTAATTATAGGGAAAACCAGAAAAGTTCTTAAACTAGTTTAACACTGGGCAAATTTAGAACATTTGTCTCTGTCCCCAGTCTTAGAGGAGAATTGTCTGCCGGAACACATACGTTTTGGTGAACAACTATACCACCAACTGACATACTTTGGAAAGATGTGCCTGCGTTGGGGACTGGGCCTACACAATACTGGGTTGCAGATAAAACCGGTTTTTGATGAAATGGCAAAAAGTGTCAATCAATTATTTGATGCGTCGTACTCTGAATAAAGGGTTCGCGGTCACTTGAGGGCAACGCTGATGGCAATGCGGTACAGCACAAAGCCATAATAGTGGGTTATTATCGTAAATAATGAGAAATGCTTTATTTTCCAAGTACTTGGATAATTCTCATGGTACCAGATCAGTGAAAATCGTATTTTCTAAAGCATTATCATCTGTATGACACTTAAAGTTTGAACATGCTACTCTTAATCCTTTGGTTGCTCCTCTCACCTTGCGTGAGTAAAGTGGGTAGCATTGAAGTTCTTCAAAAAATTGTGTTTTTTAAAATAAACACGGGAGAGTAACGAAAACGGTAATGTTAAAAAAAGCGGAATTAAGTATGGTAATTTGTCTAAAGTCGCGTAGGCAACAAATTTACTGAGCCCAATGATCCTAGTACAGATAATGCTCTAAGCTGGAATAAAACTACTATTGGTGCCATGGTTACGCAAGCCCATTGAAACAAGAATTGCCAATAATTTCTAACACTTCTGCTAATTTCGAAGAGTTGTTTTCATATTTTAAACATTTTCCATTTTACGGTAGGCATTACCGATTTCTCTTTTCTTTATAAGCAGGAAAATTAAAGGTGAAATCCATGGGTTCACACTCATTAAGATGCAGCTCTCGAAGACTTCCCCAAAGGCGACAATACTCGTGCGGAATATGTACTGTTGACGTACAGAAGAGGTAGTGGCTTTTGGTATAGCCCGAAGTCCGGGCCACCTGGCAAGGACACAGTGACTGAGACCCTATGTGGTCCCTTACCAAAATCGAGAGAGAAATACATCTTAACTTTGCTCAAATAAAAAGTGACCCGCCCATTTTCTCCCATTTTGATCTGTATGATAACAAACTTCACCCTCTACCTTACCAACTGCACTTTTAGCTTTGTATCTGAAGATAATATTAGACACTTTGCTTTACTTTGCAGAGAATTACCTCTTGTAACCATTAGGAAACATGAATTACGACTATAATAATGATGCCGAACGAATTTACAATGCTTGCAAAGGACTCGGTATGTTAAACTGCCACTGTTCGCTAGATAAGAGATGTACAAATTTGGCCACCCGTATTTGCGTATGTGTATCTGATACATCCTAAATGCATACAAACGATATACAATTTAGCATAAACCGTAATTCCTTAACTCGTTTGCTGCCAAAGTCAACTTGTTATGACGGCCTACCCTCTTATCTGACCTCGATCACACAGTTTTCACTTTGCGAGAACTGATTTATCGCATTTAAAACAGTAAAGTAGGTGAGGGACCTCTCCGTCTAAGGGTGTTTCCGGTTTTATTTCTCGAGCAACAATTAAACTCATCAATTTGGTGGTGTTCAAGTGTTAGCGTTATGGGGCTTGGGGCCACTTGCATGGGGTAGAGGCCAGACAGCACTGCGGAGGTACGATGGTGGAGCCCCTATGTGGCCTGTTGCCAAAGCCGAGAGTTAAACAAACAATTAAAGGGGTATAGATATACTTGGCCAAAGAAGCATTTGGGATAGAGCGGATGAATTTTTTTGATACCCTCATAGCTAACTTGCTATTTCTCTCTGGTAACCACTAAACACTGTAACCTTTCCCTGTTTCCTTCTAGGCACTAGAGAGGAGGACATAATTCAGGTTATTGGCAAGCGGAAATTGGCTGAAAGACATCAAATTCGATTGGCTTACTTTTCTAAGTACAACAAGGTAAAATTGACGAGTGTGACAATGATGTGCTTAATATCCATTGCCGGTCCAACATTGGTGACCACTTAAGGAGCGGTTACTGCAGTAAAAATCTAGCTGAACAAGCGACACCGAACATTAGAGTTGGAAGGCGAGCGCAGATAGAACTTGTGCTTATTCACTTTTGTTTTTATCCCTGCTATTCGATAGGATCTCTTGGATGTACTGGACAGTGAATTGAGTGGAGATTTTGGAGAACTGGCACGCAATCTCTTCCTTGGTCCAATTCAAGTTTTGGCGTTTGAATTGTACAAAATTTTCAAGAAGACCGGCTCAGCTGGTGGCGATGTTAATGACATTATTTGCTGCCTCAGTCCAACTGAAATCACAGCACTCAAATCCGCCTATCTTGAAGGTGAGGTGATTGCACGTATTATCACTACCGCGTAGCCCCTCTTCCGCTATCAATCGTCTACCTCACGGCTCTTCATGGTCGCTCTTCCATGCGAGAGGGGTGATGATAGCGTTTCTTTAAGATCGAAAAGCGAACTGCAACAGAGAGAAGGCGCTATTGTCCCTACGCTATTCTAAAAAGGTGTGCCATTTGCCTCAAGAAACCGGGCAGAAGAGGAGTGAAATTTCCTCTAACTATGCTATAAACCAAGGGCGTCTGATAACCAACTCTTCAGGAATGCTTTCACTTCACTTGTGACGATTGTTTAAAACTCGGAAACGGGGTTTTACAAAATATGACCCCTTTTTAACCCCTCCGTAGTGTGACTTTGTAGAGTCCTACTCCTGTTTATTGTTCACTTAAATCGGGTTCGTTTACTGTTGCCCTCTATACGAGGTTCTGAGGCATCCGGCTACTCATTCCAATGTGGGAAGTCTATGCGCCGATGGGCCTGGAGGTTGGCGGCACCACCAGAGACCGCGCCACCAAACAAACGTCAAAATTGAGGGGAACCCTAGAGTCTGCGTATATTAAAGGCACCGTGGCACAACACCACTACAAATGCATACCTTTAGATTGATATGAATGCGGTTTTACAGCGAAAGTTTACTTATTTACTATTGTTTTTCCCATTTTAGTCCTGCAATACGAAGATGTGAAAGGTACGTCTGTTTTAACATTATTGTAAATTGCTATAGTATAGGAGCTATCATATAAAGAAGTTGCCAAAAATACTATTTTTTTTTCTTATTCTACTTAAGACGAATGTGCCGCCTCTCAGTTAGGGGAGGAGTTGCTATGGCACCCTTTCCTAATGGGTCTTGCATTTTAGTGAAGATCCCCCTAGTGGACGTCATTCCACCATCTCAAACGGTAAAAAGGAAGTGATAGACAAAATTTGTTCCGTTCAAAAGTGCATTTTAAATTTGGAAAACACTTTGTTTGGATAAGGGTTGAGTGGCGACTTATTGTATCACTAACGGAAAATTTTGAAATAACCACCAAATTCCCTTGCCAACTTTATTGTACAGACAAAACGCGTAGCCTGGAGAAGGACATTGAAAAGGAGACTAAGGGCGGTCACCGTGACTTCTTGCTCAAATTCATCAGCACCCACCGGCCCGAGTATTCCGCCGAGCAGATCAAATCCGCCGCTGCTACCGGACACTGGGAGGATCTTATCGACATGCAACAGGTTGAACGCAGTGCAGCTGCCATCCATGCCGCTGGTGAAGGGTCAGTGTTGGAATCTGCAATGGGATCAGTAGTAACAAAACATTTTTGGGTTGGGTGTCACCAGCTACCAAACGTACTAGTGGATCTGATTGCCTCTTGTCAAGGAGGCTTTGTACTGCCTTTTTCCATTAACGGATCGAGATTAATTAACTATATTTAGGTTTGCTCTTCAAATATTTTTCTTCTATTTTCACATTACAACTCCGTTGTGTGATTAACTGCCAAATGATCCAGTACTTTCATACGCTCTATTCAGTAATCACCGAAGTCAAAGGTAAGGAATGCGCACCGGCTCTGCGTGTCGTGTCTCTTCTGTCGGATGTAGCTTACCCATCTATTCACGTAGTACCTGCGTTCATGAGCACGTGAATGAATTGCCCTTTTCATTGGAATTGTAACTGCTTACTCCACCCACCTCCCAGCACTCAGATCGTGGAGTTTAAAGTCGGAGAGACCTACTTATTTCGGAAAATCAAAACCACACTCATTTGGAGTTAATGGTTGACTGTTATTAGTTGATCAGAAAGAGGACTGGGGTGTATGTTTTTGTTTTCTGCAGGAAAGCTGGTAAAGGGAATGAAACTGAAGTGACGCGAATCCTTTGCACCGCAAGCGTTCTGGATATACGCGCCATCTATGATCACTTCAAAGATGTACGTCTTAAAAACATTGTGTTCTAGAGCAATTTTTCGAAGCGGGGCACTTTAGTGGACAATTGGACGAAACTTCAGTCGTTTTGATAATGTTTGAAGGGAAACAAACAGCTGATATAAAACCTTTCGCTTTCTTGAATTCCCATAGGTGTACAATGTTTCGTTAGTGGATTTCATTACAAAGGCCTTCAAGAATCCACTTCGAGATGCTTACAACAATGTCAGTAAGTCCTGTACTGCCTACTCTTCCACGTCAAAGTCAAACCAGGTGAATGAGCGATTTTAACAAATCCATCTTTCTTTCGCCCTACAGTCATGTCAGCAGTGGATCTCCGTCTCTTGTTGGTGGCTCAACTCTACAATTCCATGCATGGCCTGGGAACCGATGAGCGAACCTTGTCCAGAATCATCGCTATCCGCTCTGAGGTAATTTTCTAGGCTCTAATGCTGAGAAGAAAAATATATGTAGAAGATACCTAACAAAATACGCCTTATAAGGCATTGCAATCCATGAGAAATGGGCCCGTTATGCGCTAGTTCCAGACATCTGCGGCTGGGGCTGAAGAACTTACCCCCACCAATAAACAATACAATTCTAGGTAAATAAGCAGAACTTTAAGGTCGCGTGGAAATTCTGCATGACTTTTTCGCAGTACAACCACTTACAGTTCTAAGGATCAGCCTCAAGGTTCCGAAATGTACCTTTTAAAAGCTACAGACAGGACGAATTAACAGTCCCAGGAAAGCATTGTTTATCTCATTGGCAAGAATAACAGCCCACTGCAGACTTTGTCAAAAATCGTCCTAGATTTCGGGCTCAAAAAGAATGGAATTTTCCGATTCTGCGTCAGTGATGTTATATTCTACATTCTAACTACACAATCTACTACCTTGTAGATTGACCTCCCAACTCTAAAGGTACTCTACCAACAGAAGATCGGGCGTTCATTGGCTGAGATGGTAAAGAGCGACACATCCAGCGACTACCGATCGCTCCTAATGACCCTTTTGGGAGAGAAGTAGGATAGAAACCTTGAGTAGCAATTTCACTACCTTTAACATTCCCCGGGAAATAGCCTACAGTTGCCCCATCTCACACAGTTGCATACACTAATAAACAATCTAATTGCACATTCTAAGGCAAATCTTCTACCGTGCTTTTTCATGTGGGAAAAACTAGTCTGAAATGGCGGGACTTATAGTACCAATTACAATTTGGTAGGTTAAAACAAGTGACGATTTTTATTAGAATCAGAGGTTTCCGACTAAGTTATATGGTTTTAAACAAAGATGCGCAAAATAGAACATTGGCAATTTAATATGGTAACACCATATTAGGTGAAGATTTCATTTCTGATATTAATGAAAAATACTAATTTTGTGTCAAATAGGTCGTTTACTTATTTTGGTGCTAAGATAAGGCGCTTTTATTTGCCTTTTTGATTGTGAACTCTCTAGAAATTAGACACTATGTAAATACCTAAGCAGTTATATCGATTGCTTAATAAAAATTTTCTGACTTGAATGTGTGGATGGTAAACTCAAAAAGCCTGAACGAAACATGCCTATCCTAGGTGCAAATTAATGTACACTCCCATGGCGACTGAGTGGTTCCGAGGTAAACCTTAGCTCACCGAGTTTTTTCGAAGACGCAATGATCCGTGGCAGTATAAAAGAAGTCTCGCTTAGCTAAAAGACTAGTAGCACGAAACAGAGACTATTTCGCAAAGCAAAAGCTCGTCCTGGAGATATCCGATCCTTGGTTTTATTAAAAATATATATAAACAGCATCCATTCACTAAACAACAACGCGCATTGTAAAGCCACCGCATGTCAAAAGTCAGTCAATCAGTCAGTCGATCAGTTACTCGTCCAGTTGGTCATTAAGCAATACGTTCCCGGAGTCACTTATCTACACAAGTAAAAGAGGTGGAAAACAACACATCGGTCGTCTTTGCCCCTTGTTGTCGACAATCTCTTTATGCATGATTCGGGAGCCAAACTCAGCTCCTAACCAACCCTCGTAATTACCTTCGCCCCTTGTTCGATGCGGATGCAGACGACATATTTGCTTATCGCTATTATCACTTACGTTAAAGGCATTCTTCTTAATCAAGCTGCCAACTTGCAAGCGTAGTCTCGATCGGCTTTAGCGTGTCTCCCGTGTGTCAATTGTGATACACGACATGGTTCCTCCAGATCAAGAATAGTGTTTCAACCTTGAACTGATGCCTCTGTGTTAAAATGGCTCTTCATTACGGCTCAACTACTTATTTGGACCAGTTCTTCTGCATAATGCTTTTTGCTACCACAACTTCTGTAAAGCCCGCACGACAAATTTGACGCCGGGCTTTTAGAAAGGCTTACTATAGGGTTAAACTCGGTCTACAAAGAGGCAGGCGATAATTATAACACCATTTATTTCAAAACAAATCTTAGTTTGTTAATTTCCCTAATCAAAAGATAGATGGCAAAGATAGATGCACATGTGTACATACAACACCTTGCATTTTACAAGTTTTTATAAAATTCCAGAAGTTATTCTAACAAGCGTTATCTTAAACCGCAGAAATTCGTTAAGTTATTTGATATTTCGTAGTAAATAGCTTCAAGCATTGTCAAGAGATGTCAGTAGTTGCTACTGTAAACTTCCAGTAGACGTGTTCTGGCAGCACCCGCAACTATTATTTTATTAATTGAATCTTGCTTTTGTCACTATGGCAACCAAATAGTCGTAGGTACGTTATTAATTTGGTTGCTAATATTATGAGTCTTTCGTCGGTTGGCCGCCTGAAGGCAAGTCTACGTAGTTTAATCTGAAGAATTGGAAGAAAGAACAGTGTCAGCTTACGAAATCTCAAATGAATTTATGCAGTTAAGTAAAACCCATAATTTTAAGGCGATTCTTTAACCGCAGGTTTTGGGGCTCGGCAACCCGTAAATGCGCATAATTCTTCAGAAAATGAGTATTAACCTCCACACTTACGTTTGATGTAAAGGAATTACTTTTCGTAAATTATTCTCGGTAAAAATCGCGCCACTGTTTAGATACATATTTACCACTTAATAAAATGCGTTTCAATTATCCCCATTTTTAAGTGTGGTGCCACCAGTCTTCCCTGGGTTCGTTTAAAGCCATTCATGGAGAAAGGAAGGCATAGCATAGTAAAGCCCTTGACTTCCCTAAAGAAGAAAGGAGACATGAAATTCCGGGTGAATATATATATATATATATATTCGACTTGTAAAATAGGTTTGAATGACCCTGAGGACAACCCACTTCGTAAAGGTATATTGGTGGCGCCCCTAAGTGACCCCTTTACCAAAACCAAAAGCTAAACAAACAGCTAGTGTATCACAGAGCAACTGGCAGCGTCAGTTTACTTTGAACAAAAATTGTCAACGAGGAACGAGATTTAGCTGTCTAGTATGCTTGTTTGCGCAAGTTAGACGCCTAGAAATTTTGCTTAATCTAATGCCATTTTAACATATTCGCGAAATTCGCATAATCGAGAAAAACACTAATTGCAACCCAAAGGCACCCATCAACCTCTCAGGTGACTTGAAATTATTTTGTTGAAAATAGTGAGGAATCAACTTAGCACCCCGTTCAAAAACACAAACCTTAAGTAATTTGCTTATTACCTATAACACTTAAACCTTGTATTTGATTGGTCATATTTATCGATTTCTGTGATTCAACAAGTGATTGGATAAACGCGGATCAATAGAGAAGTGGAAGAAATAGTAATTGGTATTGGTTTACTTCACACCCTTCTTTGTGCTTCTGCAAGGCAGAATTGCACGAGTTGATTTTATAAAACGGTAACGGAATCACCTAATGAACAAGCAAACAATTAACGAATTCAAAACAACCGCCTATTTATTCATCTCTGCTTTCGCAAAGGCAAACATCAGATCAACAAGGGAAGACAGTCGGCGTTACATCTTGAAAAGGTAACAAACTGCGTGTTGCTTTTCGAGTGTGTGTGTGCATGTAAGTGTGTATGGGTGAAAAGGCAGTACTTAAGTTGGCAACGTCTGAAGAGATCAATAGCGTAAATCACACAAATAGGAGTGAGACTATTTCATGACCCAAAGACTGCTTCTGACTCACCCACATACATAGTGGAGCACTGAGAGCCCTGGTAAAAGTGTGCTCTTCGAAACAAGTTAAATCAAAATTTCCACGTTCTCAGACTTCGTAATGGAACACAAACATATTTTAACTACCGTAGAGTAAGGAGCAGGTCTGATTAAGCCAAAGATACTGTTCCTTCTTACTTACAAATGGGTAAATTGGTTGGAAGGGCTTACACAGTGGCGGTGGTTTGATGGACCTCGTATCGCTTAAGCCGCTATCACGCGGAAGCTGTGCATTTACCCTTTTAACAACGCATTTCTGGAAGAGAAGTGATTTTTACCAACACTGAGTTTGGGTAATTATTATCAAAACCAAATCGAAAGATCAAATAAGCTTGCTAGAATTACTTTTTGTACTTGATTAACACCACTAAAATGAATAAACTTTTGGAATCCACTATCATCGTGTTAAACTAGTTGTGCGACTCTTGAAGGAGATGAAGTAGCAAAACTCATCACTTGGAAGAACAAGTCCAGATAAATAATTGCTGGAGACAGTATTTCGAGGAGAAAGCCTCAAATTCTTGATCAGAGGATATTGTGTCGTTTGTCGCTTTTGATACACACGAGACTCATTAAAACCGGTCGAGATTAAAGTGTCAAAACTAAAGACGATGATGATGATGATTTATGGGGAAGGTGTTCAAGCCCTTATAAACCGAGAGAGGAAGCTGAACACAACGGTTGGTAAGGAGCTGAGTTCCATTTCCATATCAACCATGAAGAGCCAGTCGATGATTGTTCTTGACTTCTTTTACCTGCATAAAAATGCGACTTTGGGAGCGTATTGTTTGGTGGGTGAATGGGTAAGTGGCCGAGTGATAAGTGGTGCTACCTTAATGTCCGTTCACTTACCACACTACTCTACACTTCCAAGACTCGCAATACTTCTTCCCTAAAGTCCGTTCCCTAATTGTTTGTGTGTGCGGGACTTCAGACATGACACATTGACTCCCTAGGACTTATTTAACTGCTGAAGGTCAAACGACTACGACTGAGGTCTCGTCATGACTCGAGTGTGTGTCAGATGCATTCCTTTGGAGAAATTATCTAGAATGGAAGAAGGTGAGAAGTATGTAATATCTCACACGACTGAGAAACTCAACTGCAAGAGGAGCTTCATTTCAGCAGAAACAGTTGAAAATGCTACCGCATTCCCCTCCTTCGTAATTCATTCGTGCTTCTCCCGGTGATTATTATAACCACTTCTTGCCGGAGACGTTGGACTTTCACAAGTTAAGTGAAATAGACAGTTGGGAAATGAAAGTGAGATGGATCTGTGCATGTGGCTAAACCGAGGGCTATATTCTTGTCTTTTTAGACCTAAAACCTTGCGTAAAATTAAATTATGGGTAGAAGTTAATCAAAGAAGTTTTCTTGTAAATTTATGTATTTGCTAATACCGAAATTCATCTTCTTTCCCTATTGGCAAAGAATATAACCTCTTTTATGCCTGTTGTCAAGACTGTTGTAAATAAATAGGGTGCAGTGAAGAGTAAGTGCTCTTAGCTACCAAGGTCTCAGAGGAAAGGGAATCACAACAACTCCTCAAAAAAATAAAAGATTTTTAAGTGTTAATAACTTTCTTGGACCAAGAAAACCCCGTTTCTACTTTACTGATTAAAATTTACATCATTTGCTTTCATTAAATGGTAAAGCACACTCGTCACATATTTGTGACGCGGGGTGGGAGTAAATGCCTCCTCCGCCAATTCACTACAAATATTTTTACAGAGTTTGAAGATATGCCATCGCTAGATCTTCTGTCAAACAAAGCATCAAAATGCATTGTGCTTAAATACCGGTTAAATCCATTCAAGAGCTCGAGCAACAGTGCAGACAACAATCCCACAAATGTTTTCCACAAGACAAGGGTGGGCCAGGAGACCTGCTCTGTCGTACTGCTCCACCCCTTCAAAATAGTCTACCAGCCAAGTGGGTGGAGGGGGCTGAAATGAGACAGGAGTGAAGACCAACGATGAGCCGAAGATTAAAGCTTGAGCGTCGGTGAATACAATCCACAAACTCCTCATTGACGCTGACTTTGCCTAAATCCTCTAAAGAGAATTATTTTCTACCAACACTTCAAGGTCAAGTAAAACCTGAAGTCTTTTCAAAAAACTCCCCCAATTGAAGTAAACAACACCCCGAGTAGGAGGTGCGTTTTGTAGCAGACCGTTTCATTGTTGACTAACTCAATGGAACTGGCGCTTCATTTTAGGGTATGGGAGTAGACTCAAATGCATGTGCACTTAGGCATTAGTACCTATGAATGTTGCATTTTCCTCTCATAAAAAAGTAACAAATTCATGCGAAATCCATAGAGATGCCACTACCGCTTCAAAGGACTGGTGACGTGCTAGCGCTCAAGGCATCGCTGCCTAGCGCTGATTGGTGCGTTGTAGACTTAGATGCGGGCAGTGGAGAGTACTTGAAGAGCACACACACACTTCTCACAATCTTTGTTGAGTGCGCTCGCCTCATCGAGTCGGCTCTACGCTCGCTTCTCTACCGCCAGGTGAGGATTTTATGCATATTTTAACTGTCTCAACTTCAACCTGAAAGTTCTAGTGTATATGGTGCTAGGCAAGCCAAAAACTGTAAAATTGATGCAATACGTCGAGAAATTTTGTGTCACCCATGAGGAATATGTGATAGAGGCGGTCTAAAAGAAAATGTGAGCAGCTAATGCCTTTGTAATTGAGCAATTAACTCACTACGGTTAAAATTACCTCTTATTGAATCCCAGAGTGGGAAACAGGCAAAATTCCGAGGCATTACAACAAAGTCCAGCTCTAAAATGACAGAAATCGGTGCCCAGATTATTAGGCCACATAGACCATTAGTTTTAAGAACTTGTCTTTTTGACAAGGATATACCCTCTTGAACGCAAATTCTTGCTAATTGCGACAATTTAACACATGTAGTTGTTTTACCCGAAAGTGAAATAGACATTTGGTCAGTTGGTTTTTCACAGAGAAGACTTTAAACACTTGTAGGGGAACCAAAGAAAATGCTACCTTCTCCTTTATTTGCGCATTTTGGACTGAGATGACAATTTGTGCATTGTAGAAATTACAAAACAAATCTAAGGTGTTTGAAAAATGAGCATCAAAGTTACCAATTGTGGTCTTCCATGCAATCCCACCTTGAGGCCCTACCCCAATTTCAATGCAAACAGTGATGTGGAACTCCTTAAAAAGGCTATGGACGGAATGGGTAAGACATTTAAAGTTTTTTTTTTGAAAAATTGCAAGCTGCTAAATAAAAACTGTTGTGTTGGATGCAGACACAAAAGACTGCACGTACAGCATTCTGGACTTGCAATTGGTCCGAATCCCTGAACTGGGTTGTCGTTTAAAAATCCACAAAAATATTCATTTTTTAAGGACAAAATTGGGAATGATTAAGTTTTTATAATCATTTTTAGCATTAATGTAACAGTTGCAGCAATTTTTTCCATAAAAAGGAATTTTGAAGTCATTTTAACTAATCTTGTTTGAAATAACGCTGGTAATGTCTGAAAGTGAGTGCTAATGTAGCGCCCCGAGATGACCCTAGACACGAAAGAAGACATGAAACTCGGGCAGAATGTGTACTGTCAACGTGCAGCAGGGCTTGGAACCACTGGCACGGCCCGGAGGCCAGCCTGCCCGGCGGAGGTACAATGGTGGAGCCCCTGAATGGCCCGTTACCGAAACCGAGAGTTAAACAAACGATTTACTTATCATACTGATATCATGACGATGTTTCCACCACGTAGCACAGAAAAAGGCTTTTGTTTGCAATCAAGCGAAAAAATGAGGTTTTAGGTTTGGCTCACTTCAATAAATTGGGAAGTAGTTGCAGTCTGTGATGAGTTAACTACTGTGTCTTCAAAAGAATAACCTTCTCTGATACTAATACTTTTATTCTTAAGAAATGTACTTTTGGATAAAGATGTCTTCGCCTCTATGAGTCACAGTCTTCCGGGTCTCCCACGTGGCTCTTTGTGGCAATAGTTAAAAGTCTTCGGGCATTTCCACCTCTCTGTTGCAGGGCAGAACTCTTTCATTTATAAGTGTACATATCTTCTCCCAAATCATGGTTTACAGATAAGTGATGGAACTTCAAGAAATAAAGTAGGAATTGCGAATAGTAGTATGAATACGGCACGAATCGAGGGCATGAGCTACTTCGTATTATATGACTTAATAGTCCCCAAAATGTTTTTTCATCGGAACCAAAAGGCCACCAGTGGACTCCCTTACCGCAGAAAGAACTCTTTTACTTGGTGTAAAAATGTAGAAATACAGCATTTGTTGGTACTGCAATTCATCTCACAGTAGTGTTGTGAGAGCAGTCAAATGGTCACGGCATATACCAACACCAATTCACCATCTTTGTGATTGTCAAGGCCCCTTGTATACTTGCGCCATCACCGAATTCCTGGGTAATTGGATTACAAACACAAACACACGAGTGCCAATGCAGACATTCTGACAACACCGATGTATGAAAGCGCTTAATGCAAACGATTTCAACAATTTTGTCTAGCCTGTGGCATGGCGCCAATGCACATACTGCATTGCCTGAGTGAAATAAACGTAGCGTCTCGAGACTTCCTTGAGGACGAGCCCCAAAGTGGCTCGTTAGTAAAAACCGAGATTAAACAAACAATTAGTGTATTACACTGACTGCCTCTTTTCTGGCGTATAGAGTGAGATAATAAATCAGGAACCACAAAACGACAGGTATTGTAAGCAACTTTTGAGTTTTTCTACCTCTAAATGGGGTCAGTGAATGTGCACGCGGGGGGCTTTCTGATTGGTTAGATGCCTACACAATTCAGAGTTGATAGGCGAAGAAAAGTGCCAATTCAGGGAAGCGAATAACTTTGTGAGGAACTAATACGTTTTTGTTGGAAATTCGGTAAATCTCTGACTTGCATGTGAGCCCAAACAGATCATTTGGACGAACATATATTTCCCCACTATTTTTTGTTTTTTAAACAATTCAGGCACCGATGAAGCTATGATCATTGAAATTTTGGGAACTCGCACCAGTCAGCAACGTGTTGAAATTGCGGAGGCCTACAAGGGTTCCTACGGCGAGGTTAGTTTTTAAGCTTACCCAAGAAAGTAGAATGACTTTTGGTGACTTAGATGCCAACAGTTATTATAAGTCGCCCTTAACAAAGAGCCCCTATTTTCCTTTTGAAGGATCTGAGGGAGAAACTTCAGGGTGAACTGAGTGGTGATTTCGGCGAATTGGTAGACCTCATGTTCTACACCATTCCTGAGCTTAAAGCGCAGCTTTGCTACGACGCAATTAATGGAGCTGGGACAGACGAGCTGGCCCTCATTGAAGTTATCTGTACTTCAACCAACTCTGAAATCGAAGAACTTAAAAAGGAATACGCTAAGGGTGAGTGTTTTGACTGCATTTTGAAGCTGCCATCTCCTCTCTTTCTTATAAACATATTTCTCCTCCCTTTTAGTGTGCCAAAATCACGGAAAAGCTGGTATGTCAAACGTTCATACCAACTAGAAAAATAATCTATTCTAGTTCTGTACTAAATAAAAGATCCCGAAATGCGGTGGTTTTGAGTGTAATTTTAGCTTGCAGTTGCAACACTTCGTGCACCGTTCCGAAACCACAGTTGATCAAATTCGGCTCACTTCCGCACGATAGCTCCAAGACCAACTTAATTAATTAAAACGTTAACTTTTATTTTAATTCTTTGATATCTTTTGCACAATATTTTACGCTATCCCGTATTTGGCATTACGATTGTTAAAATGATATTGGATTCCCAATGATTTCGCGATGAAGACGCTCCTAGGGTCCCTTTTTCCTCTCTGGGTAGCCAATGAGAACTCTTTGGAAAAAGACGTCGTGGGCGACACCAGTGGCTATTTTAAACGCATACTGGTGGCCCTGTTGGCAGCTCAACGCCACGAACCCACGGAACAACAGTTGAAAGATATTGCAAATCGCGGAATTGACTCAATCATCGACAAGAAGGCTGCTGAAGCGGACGCTCAAAAGCTCTACGATGCTGGCGAAAAGTAAGCTTGTCACTGAGAATTAGGTAGAACCTAGTGATCATACTTACAGCAACAAATTTTTTTGGTTTACCTCTTAAGTGGGATTTAAAAAACCCACAACACTGGTGATGCTACTGATAACTGAATCAGTAGCAACTACGAGATGAAAGAATCGTAGGGCGTTGCTGTAAACAATGTGCATCTTAATCGGCGATTAGTTGTCTAAGTTGAAGTTCATGTCCCATCCCCAAGATGTCCTTGAGTTATGGTAATGCTGTGGTCAAGGGGGAACATTTATTCAGTAGGCTATCAAGAGTTATCGAAATATGGAAATATGTCCTACATTTAAATAAGTGTATTACACCCCGTTGAAGCATAATTTCATCTTATGTTTTAGGAGACTCGGAACAGATGAGGAGGCCTTTATTACTATTTTGTGCACGAGAAGCCCATGGCAGCTGATTGCAATTAGCAAGGCCTACGAAAAGGTAAGAAACGGATTATATGGTGCCATGACTTTATTACCCAAGTCCGGTGTCACAAATATGTGACAGCTTGTATTCTCCATTATAGCTGGGGTCATTAAGGAGGATTAAATGAGGGTAATTTAATTGTATTAGCCTTTTTCAAATCCTTTTTAGGGCCTCATCTAAAGACTAGCTACTGGTAGTGTCATATCACAATAGAAAACTTATCTGGTCTGTGGTGGTCAGTTTTGCCACAAGACAGTTCTCGGCAGCAAAAGTGTTAATTTTACTCGTTTCAATTCGAAATTCCTACTAAGGACGAAAAAATGGCCTCAAGCTTTTCCTGACATTAGCTTAAGTTATTATACCACTAAAATGGAAGTTCCGGGATACGTCTGTTTACTTTCTAAATAGTATTTCTTAACAGATAAGCAAACTACGACTTGTTGAGGCCATCGCGAGTGAAACAAAGGGCGATTTCAGAAGAGCTCTCTTGACAACCTGTAAGTTCTCATTACAACAACTTCAAACTGTCCACCCGTAAACATTATTTTTAGCCTTATTGCCCGCTTTCTCCTCCTCACCTTACTGGTTGGTTTAGCTTCAGTTGTCTCCTCAGTCCACTTTTAATTTTTATTATTATACCCATCGGTGGTGGCAGCCAGTGTAGTATTAAGAATGTCCTTCGACCAACAATCATTGAGACATCCGATTTGAGCAATATCGTGCGTATTTATCTGTTGTCCAATGTAGTGCTTGCCAATACCAATACACCTATGGCGTTTGCCGAGCACTTCAACGACGGTCTAAGCGGTGCTGGAACCAACGATGACCAGTTAATGCGTCTCATTGTGTGGCGCTCCGAGGTATTTCGCAAATCAACAGTTTTCCGTCATTGTGTCATTCCAAAGACATTCTACTTGCTTAATTTTTGCTTTACTAGGTTGACATGAAGGAAATCAAGAATTGTTACCTCACAAGGTACAACAGAGATCTCGTCGATGACATCAAAGATGATACGTCTGGCGACTACGAAAAACTCCTCGTTCGTCTCCTCGGATCTCAGTAAAAATTGGCACTATTTACTTCTTTCGACTAATCATCCTCAATCCTTCTTTAGCCATATTTGAGCTCTGGCGTCTACTGATTTACTAAATTAGCAGTTCTACAATACCTCCGGTCCTTGTTTCGTGGTGGAGTGTCTTACTCATTTCGTGCTAATTTATGAAGGAGTATATTAAACAGAAAATTCTAATGCGATTAACAGTTTAAAAGTGCTGCTAATTTGAGATCACCATACCGTGGACTTTCAATCCACTAAGAAGAGGTACAAACTTTCTGCCGCGCGTGTTTTACGCGTCGTTTCACCCACAGTCAGCGCGTCTGTTGTGAGCTGGCCCAGGTATTACCGGTCAGGGAGTCAGGGAACAGTCGCAAACCCTCCTCGCAAGAGAGAATGTGTGGTGACCAACGTAGGCACGTATCTAATATCACAGAGATCTTTGGTCATAGTTTGTATGGTGATGGGTACCCTGCAAGGAGTTTGAGCGATGTCAAGGCTCAAAAGACGACAAACCGTACATTTGTACGTCAGTCCTCCAACGCGGCATTCATCCCTTGCACATTCAGTTCAACCCCGCAACGCACCTAATCATAGGTCCCTGACCCTTGCATAACCTGATTTGTGAATAAATTACACAAGAAACGAATCCTTCTGCGCATCTCTACACATGCGCGGACCTTTGCACCGGTTCTTTCAAGAATGGTTTAGCCGTCCCGGTAAATCTTTTAAGTAAACGCAGCTTATACTCCCCGAAGTGCGCTATTCTGTGATGCCGATAAGTCAAAAGTGGCGGCGTAATTTGGATGCTCCATAAAAAACACCCAATCCGGCTTACCATTTAAGCAAATCTTACCCCCCCCTCTGTATTACTGCTTTTAGGAACTGTAAATAGAGAGACAAATTTCCTATGGGCTGTGAATTACTTGGTTTTGCTTGTTATGTCAGGAGCATCCGAATTCGAAGTGGCTTTTCTTATAAACAAATAAATCAAAATATTGTCATCAAGGTCGTAGTTACCGTTATGTAATAACCAAACGAATGAGTAATCAATAGACTTGGATTTAAAATTTTGTCATTTAGCATCATAATGTATCATAGCAGGGCTTAAAACACCCTCAAATTTGGTACGCAATGCAGGGAGAACAATAAAATCTCAGCTTTTTACTTTTCTTGTAAAATAACCTCAGTTACAAATTGCCAACCTATACTACTGATAGATTCATAGTAACGAAAGGTCCTTTGTTCATCATAATTTCCGTGGCGGGCAAATTCCTTAGATATTTTAGAACTGGCTATCCCACTTTACTGTAGAGTGTAAAAAGTATATCCAAAGCACTCAAGCCCTTAGATCGTAGCAAATAATCTGAAAATGTCTGTTTTTTTAAAATAGCCGCACAAAATCTTGACATTGTCTAACTGGGTTCATGCCAAAATTCTAATAGCTCCAAAGAAGTTGAAGCAGTAGGTGACAGAGAAAAGAAACGGTTGGGTCAAGAGGAAATGTATTTTAGCGAAGAAAAAAAGAAAGACATGACATCTTTCTCAAATCATACATCCACACAAAATGAAACACTCAAAGCCGTCACTTATATGCAGTATTGCATACAACTTTGTGTGTGTGCGTTTTGTTTTATTTTCCCTTTTCTGTTCACTTTAACCACACGATACAGCAGGTGCCTCCATCTGGACCTCATCGTCCATAGCAGCATCCTGAAATTGCTGGTACTCACTATTCAAGTCATCCATGTTCGTCTGTGCCTCTTGGAATTCTATCTCATCCATTCCCTCACCAGTGTACCAATGTAAGAAGGCTCTTCGTCTAAACATCGCCATAAACTGCTCCCGAACTCTTTTGAATATCTCCTGGATCGCCGTATTGTTTCCGATAAATGTGACAGCCATTTTCAACCCACGGGGCGGAATATCACAGACAGCGGTCTTAACATTATTGGGGATCCATTCTACAAAGTATGCCGAGTTCTTGTTTTGCACATTCAGCATGTTTTCGTCGACATCCTTCATGGAGATACGACCTCGAAACATAGCTGCAACAGTGAGGTACTTTCCATGCCTTGGATCACATGCAGCCATCATATTTTTGCTGTCAAACATCTGGAGGGTCAAATCCTGAACAGAGTAGCTTCTGTAGGCCTGTGAATGACGGCTGGTTAGTGGTGAGAATCCAGGCATAAAGAAGTGTAGTCGTGGGAAGGGAATCATGTTTGTCGCAAGCTTTCTCAAATCAGCATTCAACTGGCCGGGGAATCGAAGACAAGTAGTCACCCCAGACATTGTCGCACTGACCAAATGGTTCAAATCACCGTACGTTGGAGTTACTAATTTCAAAGTCCGGTTGCAAATGTCATAGAGGGCTTCGTTGTCAATGCAGAAGGTCTCATCGGTCCCCTCAATCAAGTGGTGGAAGGATAAAGTAGCATTGTAGGGTTCTACGACCACATCTGATACCTTAGGTGAAGGCACAGTTGAAAAGCAACAAATAATACGATCTGGATACTCCTCTCGTATTTTAGTAACCAGAAGGGTTCCCAACCCAGCTCCTGTACCGCCTCCAAGAGCATGGACAACCTGGAATCCTTGAAGGCATTCGCTATACTCAGCTTCCTTGCGAACGACATCGATGATATTGTCGATTAACTCAGCACCGTCAGTGTAGTGGCCCTTTGCCCAGTTGTTTCCAGCCCCTGTGGTTCCAAACACATAGTTATCGGGACGGAAGAGATTTCCAACTGGACCTGATCGAATAGCATCCATTGTTCCAGGCTCCAAGTCAGTGAGTATGGCTCGAGGCACAAATTTGCCACCTAAAAGTGGGCTGTCAAGCTAAGTGGGGATGTTACCTGTGGCCTCGTTGTAGTAGACACCGATCCGCTCCAGTTGAAGATCACTGTCACCGTTGTACAATCCGTCGGCGCTCAGGCCATGTTCATCGGAGACAACCTCCCAAAACTGAGGAGAGGAAGGGTGTGGGGCTTGAAACAAAGGGAAGAGAGCTTACCTTGGCACCCATTTGGTTGCCGCATTGGCCAATCTGAATGTGCACAATTTCACGCATTTTGCACGAGCCTCAACTTCTTCAGTGACGGTCCTCCGACAGTGCTCTCTCAGTCGCGCTCCTTTGAATCCCAATCAATCGCGTTTCACGTGGCTGACAATTGATTCGACACGTGACTGTTGAGTTGTCGTCTCCAACGCTGGGATGTGGACACTTGTGCTGCGGCTCTTCGGAACCATAAAGAGAGAGAACCACTTATCGAATAAGTAGTAAATAGCTCCAGCTGAAGAGGTGTTGATAGCGTTTTCCATGAAATATTCCTTAGGATTGTTTCTATTACCAAATTAGAGAATTTCGTTTTGATTTAAGGACCTCTTAGTAGAAAAAAGGACTTCTAGTATGCTAGCTTTTCGTTCTACCCAGTGGCATGAATTCAAGTATCGGTCGTTAGGAAAAATGCGAGGCTCACCTTATTTACCAATCCTCCGTGTTCATTCATGGAGGTATCTTTGTGGAGTGCGTGAGGTGGTTCGATATGAACAGGTTCAGGGTAGCTTGATTTGACGAGGCCCAAGGCCCCATAATTGTGCCTTCTGAAGCACCGACTTTTTGTTTTGGATGGACAACGATGCTGAGACGTCCTGCGCATCACCCCACCGATCGCGACGACGCTATATGAATCCTATCCAAGCTCCTCCGTCTGTCGATCACTAGCTCCACTTCGGCAAAAACGAACCCCCCTTCACCATATTAATGAGTCATAAGCGGAAAACAACCCACGATATTCGCTTTGCATGTCTTTATTTATGTCATATCCTCGTGTAAACTCACTACAAAAAGCAAGCCTTCTGCACAGAAGTAGATTGAAAAATTGTCCGCAGTTCCCTAAAAGCATCTTGCAGTATTTCAGCCCATCCTTCCTTCCAAATTCTACCTCAGTATTCCTCCTCCTCTTCACCCTCGCCCTCCACGCTGTCTTGTCCTACCTCCTCATAGTCTTTCTCCAGGGCTGCCAGATCTTCACGAGCCTCAGAAAACTCGCCCTCCTCCATGCCTTCACCGACATACCAGTGAACGAAGCAACGTTTGGCGTACATCAGATCAAATTTGTGGTCCAGACGGGCCCAGGCCTCCGCAATCGCTGTTGTGTTGGAGATCATACATAGTGCCCGTTGAACCTTCGCAAGATCACCGCCTGGAACCACAGTAGGTGGTTGGTAGTTGATGCCAACCTTAAAGCCGGTTGGACACCAGTCGACGAACTGGATGGTCCTCTTGGTCTTTACGGTGGAGATGGAAGCATTGACTTCCTTGGGAGCAACATCTCCGCGATAGAGCATACAACAAGCCATGTACTTTCCGTGGCGTGGATCACATTTAACCATCTGATTGGCTGGTTCGAAGCAGGCATTAGTAAGTTCTGGAACCGTGAGTTGTTCATGGTAGGCCTTTTCAGCTGATACAGTAGGTGCATAAGTAACTAGAGGAAAATGAATTCTTGGATAAGGCACCAGGTTTGTTTGAAACTCTGTGACATCCACATTCAGGGCTCCATCGAAACGCAGCGATGATGTTAGTGAGCTGCACACCTGAGCAATAATGCGATTCAGATTGGTGTAAGTCGGACGTTCAATGTCGAGATTGCGTCTAGAAAGGGTGATGTCAGTTAAGAGATACATGTAAAGTATATTTCATAAATGCGGACACGAAAATCTACCGGCATATGTCATAGCAAGCCTCATTGTCAAACGTGAAGCAGCAGTCTGAATGCTCGATGGTTGAATGTGTGCAAAGAATGGCGTTGTAAGGTTCAACCACAGCCGTGGAGATCTGAGGTGCAGGGTAGATGGAGTATTCCAGCTTCGATTTTTTTCCGTAATCTACACTGAGCCGTTCCATAAGCAGGGAAGTGAATCCAGATCCTGAACCACCTCCGTACGAATGGAATATGAGGAAACCTTGGAGACCAGTGCATTGGTCTGCAACTTTGCGAGTTCTGTCGAGAACTAGATCCACCATTTCCTTCCCTACTGTGTAGTGCCCACGAGCGTAGTTGTTAGCTGCGTCCTCTTTCCCGGTAATAAGTTGATCGGGATGAAATAACTGACGATAAGTCCCGGTTCGCACCTCATCTATACATTTCAAAAGAAGGGGTTAGTAAGACAAAGGTATGGGCGGTGGATAAAGATGTATTCCGCGTATACATACCGATAACAGTGGGTTCTAGGTCGACAAAAATTGCTCGAGGAACGTGTTTTCCAGCACCAGTTTCACTAAAGAATGTCGAGTAAGAGTCATCTCCACCTCCAATTGTCTTGTCGCTAGGCATTTGACCATCAGGCTGGATTCCATGCTCTAGGCAGTAGAGCTCCCAACAGGCGTTTCCAATCTGACAACCACCCTGGCCAATGTGGATACTGATACATTCACGCTAAAAAAAGAAAGTTTAAATGTACGCAGTATTTTAAGCAACCACTTGCAGGAGCACTTTGCGAAAAACTCACCATTTTGAAAGATAGCAGTTGCAGTTGACGCAGCCGAGACTGTTCCGAAAGTGTCGAGTTGTCGACTTTGCGAGTGGCGGATCGATAATTTGAAAATCCTCATTACGTCTACGACGCGGAGATATCGACTGCAAACAGCTGATTTCCGCGGTCACTGGTCCATCTTGTTGGGCGAAAAGTAAAACCCACCGAAAGCCACACTCCGGCTACTGGGGCAAAAGCTGTACACCTTCCTTCCAGCCCACATGCCAATTTAGTAAGGTAGCGACTGCTGTTTTGAAGCGTTCCTTCCTTTAGGGTAGTGGGACGCTCGCTAGCCCCCTCCCCAATTTGGTCCCTCAATTTGAACCAAAAAAGTAATGACGCTTTAAGTACCGCGGCTCCAAGTAAGAAGCATGCTAGTTTTGAAAACACCCTCTGTGCTAGTTTACGGTGGCACTATCGAAGCTTTCTAAGAGAAGCCGATTTGGATAGCGAGAAATAAATAAAATTAAATATTCCCCCCTAACGACAAGAATGTTAAATACTCCTTTATTCTACAAAGGAACCGACTTAACTTTCCCAAGCAGCCACTGTTCACGGAAAGAAGTATCATATTTTGTTGGAAAAAATATACAACGCACTGGATTGTCACGGGTATGGACAAAATAAATAAACTAGAGGGGCCTACATAATCTTAACGGGAAAGCCAGCAAATTGCGTAGACCAAGACACAAGCAGAGGTTACACATAAAAGCTTCGTTTTAAAGCTCATCTCTTCTGTGTTGACAACTGATATTCCAGTTGGAGATGACGATCCCACGGGCTGAAGTCCTTCACTATCCTTTTCCAACTAAATTCAAAATACCGAATAAATAGCGATTGCAATATTTTCCATTCCTTTAAAATAAGTAGACATACGCGTTTCTGGAGTGTTGCAAAAAGCAAGTTCAGTTTCGACGCGATCTCCATCTAAGAAGCCGAAACAAGTGAGCGCATTAAGAAAGCGAATTAAGAAATATATTAAAGCACAACAAGAGCAAAAGGCTAACCTGAGAAGAATACACCTCTTGAACTTTTTCTACACTGTCGTGAAAATCACCCTGAAAATTGGGAGAGAGTAGATAATGACTAGAGGTGCAAAAACCAGCCCCCAAAACTACATACCTCGTATTACTTTTCAGATTAATTGGGAAAAAAAACGAATAAGAGGAAACGAGAGGACCCTCCGTTCATGTAAAATAGGTAGACATACCTGTTTCTGAAGTGCTGAACAGAGCAAATTTAGCTTCGACGCAACTTCCATCTACGAAACCAAAAAAAGAAAATTAAGAAAATACATTGGAAAGAAGCGGATTAAAGTGCAGCGAAAACGGGAAACTCACCTGGGAGGTATAAACTTCTCCGACTTTTTCCACACTGTCGCGCAAGTCAGTCTAAAAAATGGCAGCAGAGCAGATAATAATGAGAGAGGTACCAACAAACTCCGAAAAATTAGAAATTTTTTTAGCTTAGAAATACGGGAGACCTACAGATTGTGCTGTGTGGAATCGAAGCCATGTTGCGAATGCAGAAAAGAATCCTACGATTACTGAACCAAGGAGTGCCCATTGACGCATTCGCATATCATAGTTCCGTTCTTCTACATGCATATAACGCAAAAGACTCGTAAACTTTTCGTACGTAGCGCGTTCAACAAGATCAGCCTCATGATGCTGCGATGCCAGCTGGGCCTCTTCCCGAGCTAACTGGATTTAAGAAATGGATTCTTCCCTTTAGAAATAGGCCATTCTAGCAAGCAATAAAAAGGGAAAGTGGATGCAACACCCACTTCGTGCTCCTTGGTGATCAAGGAAAGGAAGGAGTCATCAGCACGTGAAACGACATCCAACTGCTTATTTACTTCATTGCGTTTCTTTTGCACGTCAAACAAAGCCTGCTGGAGCGTTCGCCTCTGCAGCTGTGAAGCCACGAAATCTTGTTCGGCCTAGAATACGTGAACGCTTAACCTTGTGAACCTGTAAGAGCTCAACACCGGCTTTTCTGACAGCATCTCTGCCAGATACTTTGTCGTATAATAAAGAAAATTTGTCCACGGATGTATCTATCTTGGAGTGAATACAGCTACCCAATTTTTCGTAGGATGATTTTATTATGTCAAAGTGACGGTTACTATCTAAAACTGATTTGAGCGAAGACATTCTAGAGGAATCCAATAGTTTTGCGTTTGCATTGTTAGAAAACTTTGTAATGGATTCAACAGCCTTGGAAATAAAGCTACGGCAGTATCTTGACATCAAAAGTAAGACATTCACCGAGACGCGCGCTTTGGGCAACAGTCGGTATAAAGACAGAAAACGTGCAACTTCTAGTAAACTTCAACTAACATTTAGGATCTTGAATACTTACTATAGTTTTAAGAAATGCCTAAAATGTTTTGCAACTCCCGCATGATTGTGGAAAATAAGTCTGGGTATCCGAACTCACTATCGTGGAAATTACTAGCACTTCCAGACCATAGAAAGGTTCTCATTTGTATATAAACCGCATCCCTTTTGCTATTACTTTTCAAAAAATCTATTTTTACTTGTTTTATATGGTTGGTGTGGAACCGGTGTGCTTATACGTAATTTCGATTTATTCACTTGACCATCTGCGCCACTTAAGTATCTAATGCATTCCTTCTCCATAAAAATTCTATTTTCCAAAATAAACGAGTAACATGTGTCACTTTAGAGCACGTAAGAAGAGCGCCTTTAAGCATATTGCGCCCTTTGAGGTAACTTTCTTTAACGAAAGGGTGCTCCCGGTTCTTCAGAATCACGGGAACCTTTCGCCTTGCGTTTCTCCATATGTTGAGTCAATTTCTTTGGTGCGCTCAAGCGAAATGCCGTTTCGTCATGCACATAAACCACCCTAAATCTAATTTGGAGGAAAATTTCTTTGTGTCTGTAACAAGATTTATCACCCTAAATAGCAATGTTGTACGGTTCACTTTACTCCAAAATGTGCCACGACGCATGATTGTCTCCGTAAATTCGTGAATTTATATTTCTTTTGCATGTTTGTTCTTGTAAGTGGTTCTTTCTAGGTTTAAAGAAGTACATGTCATTTTGACCCTGAACATACTTTATACTTCCTGCGGCCAGAACGCCTCTGCCGCATTTCTCAAATTCCTCGTTTTTTTATACAAGCATGTTGTTTCGTCCGCTGCAGCGCGTCTCGCGCCTTTTTGCAGCACACTTTATGCGTTCAAACTACTTTCAAAAGCACGCAGCATCACAATATTCAACTGATTCTTCAAATGTGTATGTCTTCCTTTTGAAGTCATTGTGGTGCTAGAGTACAGCTGACATTTGAGTGGCTTTGCAATGGTGTTCGAAAAACAGTTCCTGCAAACGTTGGTGATACTCTTCTCGAAGTCATTTTAGACAACGAACTTGATATCGACGGGTTTGGTAATCTTTCGTTTTTTCATCTACGTTGTTAAGGTGCCTGTGGGGGTGAGCTTGCTTGTTCAACCTGTCACCTAATTTTGAGTGATGACATCTATAATAAGCTCCCAAATCCACCCTCTGAAGAAGAAACAGATTTGTTGGACTTAGCTCCAGTTATAACGGATACGTAAGTCTGATTAAAACTACTCTCACCAGTCATTTGTGTAATTCTTGACTTACAACTTTTGCTTTTTGATGCTTTATCGACCAGTTGTTTTAGAATGAATTGTGTATTGTGATACATCCTTTGTTACGGTATAATTAGTGTTTTTACTACGTCTTTTACAAACGGTTTTTAGGGGAAACTTTATCAAACCTCTTTCTTGAAAGCATCTGCTTAAGTCTTCTGTTCTGTTTTTGCTTTTAAAACATTTGAGAAGTCTTTTATGATTATTGACTCTACTCGCCTTGTTATATGGGGTCGTTTGTATTATTTTCAACCAAAAAAACCTATTTTTTGGCAGTTCTCGACTTGGTTGCCAAGTTATAGTCTCTGATGAAATGGATGGCGCTGTGATAAAAATCCCTGAATTCTTGTAGGATGCTCTTCCCTAAACAACGTGAGTCATTTTGTTTACTTATGCTTAATTAGTAACATTTCGTTCGACTTGAATCTAGCCAACTTTTTCATCCTGAACCTCTATACTCCGTAGTCTCCACACGTTTGCTCCAATTATAAATGAATAAATAGGTCCCAATCTTCCGCAAAACAATTCGACTTAAATGTTGTTATAAAGATTGCAACTAATTGGTCAACTCTTGTGCGACCGTGAAGTATTCTGTGAAATCGGTTCCCTCAATTCACGTAGTCGATTGTGTAGATATGATTGCTGGGACCTCCTAGACTGCATTATTTTCCTTTCAAACAACAGCAACAACAAATGGTGCAGTTAGATGGGTATGAGGAGTTTTAGCAGCCAAAGTGATAAGTGAGGTGATAGGGTAGCGACTAGTCGTGTTGCGTTCATTGTGGCCATTGACGTGGCCGGCCTTTTGGTTTGCAACTGACCCCGAACCTGGGCGAACGATCTTTTTCGCAGGCGGAGTTTATCCCTTTGAACCTTCTCTTTCACCCATTTACTCAAGTAAAGGTAGAGAATACCCACTATTACACTACACTTGGAATCAGGTTTCGAAAACCCTGTCATACTTTATAAACTGTTACTTTGTACTTGTAAAAATTTATTGTTTATTAGCTGGTTTGACTTATTCTTCCGCGTCTAAATGACCCGGTAGTTAATGAAGCTTGCAACAAATCCACTAGTCTGTATTTTCCCCCTTCTGTCATTGTAATATTAGTGCCAACCGTGCCGTCTATTGTGTTTTTAAACTATGGTTATGAGTTAAAACTGTTTTTTCCATCCCGTCCATGCATTAGAAGGCCAGTTTCGTAAGTAATTGATTTGATAGCTTTTATTTTCATCTGTTTCCCTAGTGGCGAATGACATCAACTAGCCTCTTTGCAGTTGTTCATACACCCTCGTGAGATGCTTTTAAACTTTAATTTCTAAATTTTCGGTTCCCTAATGAAGAAACCAAGTTATAATTAACAATTGTTAATGCTGCCACGTAAGGTTTTCGCAAAGATAACGAGTTTTAGTCTTATGTACTATGCTGTGCTTGTTTTCATGTCATCATTATCCACTAGTTCGACCCAATTTCAGTTTTAAGAACCGAGACGGACGCCAGGAATGAATTTCTTTCTTTAAAGTAGTTTGAAGCTTTCAAGATTTGCAGTGCACACTATGAGTATCCTTTGAGGTAACAATTTGTCCATCTCATAGTACTTTGTATTTTCTAAAGTTACATCTAACCCCTCTTTTGATGATTTCTTGCCCTTTTGAATCCTTTTTTATCCCATTCCAGTTAGCGTTTCATCCCAAGAATTTTCACACCTTGTGACATTTAAACACCAATTCACTGAAAATGTATTGTTTTCACGGTCTTGCTTAATCTTTCAACTCTGAAGTTTCTTGGAACTGGTTTGTGCTGCACTAATTTTTCTGCTTTTGCTCAATATTTTCTTGTACTGTCCAGCTTGCTCTTCCTTTTTGAAATCGAAAACGAGTTTTCATGTTCAATATCGGTATTAATGCTTTTAAGTTGCATTCTCTTAAAAAAAGATGTGTCTCCAATGTGTTTGTCTTTTGAGCTTTTTTTTACCAAATGCCCCAAATGCATGCCTTCAGCCGCGGTAACTGCTGCTACTTTTTCCACACAGTTTCCCGCCGCTGCATCCATGCACTCATCCCGACAGCGTTTAGCTAGTATTCAGATGGCAGATTCCGCATGGAAAGGTTTATAACCTTGCTTAACTCTTCGTAGAACATCGAGAGTGAGCTAACTTCCAAAGCAGCAAGTGTTCGCGGTTATAATCTTTGCCGTTCTCACAGAAAGATCCGCCTCTTGTGCCATTTCACCATAGGATGGATTTCGCACCGATCAGGCGTCCAGAATAAGGCAGGAGATCTAGGTGTTGACGCTATGTTTCCGATAACTACTGCCTCAGAATAGAAACGGAATTGCCACATCCTCAATCTCCCCTAACGTACAGATGTACAGCCGGCTGTCTTTGAGGCGTTAACACCGCTGCTGAGTGGACGAGCTCCCATCACCATGCAAACTGTGGTGGAAGGCCTCTGTAGGAATAGATATCCGCGAATTTTGGTTCGATGTCTTCGTTAATGAGAAACTCCACTGGTCACCATACGTTGTTTCATGTATGCGACTACTACTACTGTTCCCTGACTCCTTGATTAATGACAACTGGACTAGTCTACGACATATGCGTTGGCTATATTTAGCGCCTATTACTGTTTGTAGTGTCACTAAGACGGTGTCTTTATTGCGTGTAAAATTGGGGGTCCCGACTTGACTTGAACGTGTCTTGATTGGTTCTGCCGTGTTTCGATGTTTCCTTTTTTATTTACATATAACATGTTGGAGGTAAGTGTGTGGGTAGTCTCTTCACGGTTTCTCCACATAAATAAGTGTCGGATTGCTGTGGCACTTGATAGGTGTCAAGTGGGGTAATAATCGGATGTTATCACACCGCTCGATATATACTGATAGTCAACACAAAAACGGTCACCAACAGGGAGCCACTGGTGAAGGGAAAATAAGATGTGCGGGATGCGCTGAAGGGTTGTTAGCCATCTCCGCTGCCACAGCAACAGGCTAGGTAGAGGAGCAGCCAATCAGGAAGCATTTCTTCCATTTCAAGTTGTAGTTTTCCAAATACATTACCCATGTTTTCACGTCCAGCAACTCATGCAGGCACGTACAGATTCCCCCATTAGCACCACTCCCTCCTAGTCCTTTTATTCCTAAACGGCTTCAGACAGGATCGCGAGGAAGTAACTCACTTTTCGTTGCTACTTTAACTAATAGGAGCGTTTCTGTGACTAATTGTAAGATTTTTAATTTCTTGGAATCATGACTGTATCTGTCTGAAAAGTTTGGCGAAGTTGGCTTCCAATGACTACGAGTTGAGTTGAATTAATGCAGGGTTTCCGTTGCCATTGGAACGAAATGCACTCATGAAGGCAGAGGATAAATAGGATCCTAAAGTAAGGATTTGCTAATTTACGGTAAATCAGAGTGACCGCTTCTTGCAAGCAAACAGAACACTAAGAAATGCTGGCCTTGAAGTGGGTTGACGGCTTTATTGCAAGCGTAAAAGCTTCTTGGAGTGTCGCCTGTATGCGAGATGTGCACTTGATGAGCCTGTGCTGTACCACATCACCGGGCTCAAACGGTTTGGTTGTGTAAGATAATACCATATATGTGGTCCGTTACTGGTGTGAGGAAGTTAATTACTTTCTTAGTCGAATAAATTAAATAGAGCCATGGGATATTTGGACTGTAGTGGTCGATTTGCCTCTGATCCAGATCCCAGTAACGAGCTTATTAAAGCCTTTTTTCGAAGAGTTTCACTGGAGTGGAACTGGATTCTTTCAAAGGGCCTTTCTATCCATTCCCACTAGTCCGATGATTTTGGACTTATTAGTAGGCGGCTTTATGAGAGTGATGACTTCATCGTCACGTCGAGTACCCGTGTCAAAAGAGACGAATTTGTCCTCTTGGAACGCGTCTATTCACAATACTCGGCGTGTGACGGAGAACTACTTTTCTTCGATGTAGTTCGCGTACAAGTTCTGTGGGCGTCTTTACTTCTAGATGGGAGCTGAGCGCTTAGATTGGGCGAATCTGGTGGCATGTTTAGACGCGACCATTTACTACTTCTCTCATAATGAATCGCTAGACTTTTTGAAATCTAATAAAGTCGTTCTCATCCCGACCTCAAACGCTGTTTCGTCGTCTGGCGAGGTCGTGGTTATCGTTATTTACCCCTTGTCTCACTCAAAAGCGAGTTCTATCCCGTTATTTTACTTATACATTCCTTCTTTAGCCCCTCGTAGTGCAATTCCGCTCCGGTGGCATTCAGTTCCGATCCGCCTTCCTATTTTGCCGAATGTACAGCAAATAGCCAAATACAGGTCTTTCTTGCATGCTCTGTTTTCTTTTTAGTATTTCAACAATTAAGTGTGATGACTACAATTCTCACCATGCAGCAGAAGGGGTCACCTTATCCATGTGGTTGATGTATCACTAATTTGCAAGCAAATGTCCTTAGTCGGTCTATAAATATGGGCTTCCCTCATAAGAGTTGATAGCAGTTCGACAGTCAGACTTGTTTCTATTTCTAGCCTTTTTCTTCAGAAAGGTAAGATGACAATTGAGGCGGTATTGAAGTCTTCCAAAAAACACAAAAAGTTGTTGGATTTCAATAAAGGGCCCCAAGCTGCTGAGGAGGATAGGCAATCCTCCGGACGAAAGCGAAGTGCAAAACTTGCAGAGGCGAATGATTCACGTAAGGCTTTTTCTGCTTAAATCCGCTTCTTTTGCAAAGTGACCAGATATCTTGGCGCGATTTGTTGTAGTAGAAAACTTCTACTTTATCGTCCTCTCCCCACGAGGTACCTGTTCGATGCGAGTGTAGCTTTCCTACAGTGCTTACCTCTGAGGGGGGAGGGGAATAACCTGGCCCTACCAACTTCTCCTATCGTCTCAGTTTTCCCACTTACCCATCCCCCATGTGATCATGTAGTGTTTTAAAACTACTACCAACAACTTGGAGAAATATGAATCATACTGATAAGAAGGATGAGGTGTGAAAATATTCCCCTCCCTCCACCTTTTCAAAGAAAATTCAAATACTTTCACGTGTATGTTTTATTTGCAGTTTTGGCTCTTTCTAAAGAAGAAATCTTATTGCGAACCTTCAAATAGTACCAGTTTGAGTGGGTAGGTGGAAGTTATAGTTACTTGGCCTTCAGTAGACGAACAATTGTGTCTGCAGCACGCAAATACGGGCACAAATCAAATGTGTTGTGTGTTGTAGTATGAGAGCTCCAATGCTGCACTTCATCGCAAGTTTTTCAGTCAGCCAACAATCCAAAATGGACGACTCCGTCTTCCCGCCTTATCGTCTATCATCTGTCAGTGCATAATAATGATAGGGAGACCCATTTGCTTAGTTGCTTCCACCACAACTTTTCCCCCTCCCACCCTTGGTGTAAGTGTTAATGAGTTCCCCAATTTTATTCTTGACTTCCTGGCCTCCAATTAACGTGCCAATTGCCGCACATTCTTCCTTGTTATCAAGGATAGGGGTTGGGGAGTCTTCCCTTCTCGACTTGAAACAACTGCCTTGGACCGAGTTACCAGCAGAATCGAGTGTGCTAAACCATTTCTGGACGGCAATTTTGAAGCTTTGGGATTGAGTTGGGATTCGTGAAGCAGACAATCTCGAATTACCTCCGTCAGGATGGATGGATATTCAATGAGATGAGGGTCGCTTCCAAGTAAGAGGAGGGTAGTAGGGAATACAATAGACGTAGAGTGCCGTACTGGCAGAATGACTCGGTCGTCTCACAGCGATGCACACAGACAAGTTGCACTGCAAGAAGTCATTGCAGCAAGCTATACCAAAGATGGCGCGTGCTTTTGACTAACTGATGTCTGGCTGTTCTTCCTCTATTTCTGCGATATTCTTTGACTCAATTTTAAAGTTCCAGTCTAAAATTCCTCCTTGCCTAAATCTACAGTGGACTATGGATATCAACTGAAGGAAGCTTTGTATCCTCTTTTTTTCCAGGAACAACTGAGGTTAATGCCGAAATTGAAGTTTCCAAACCTACGAAGAAACGGAAAAGTTCGCCAGCAGCTGCAACAGACTCGATTGAGGATGGGGAGGAAGTGTCAAAACGGCGGCATAAATCGAAACGTGTCAGTTTTGGTGACGTTGAAAAGTCAAGTATGTTTTTATTGTTTTTTTTTTTACTCCCTGTAAATTAGGATTGACCTTGGAGGTACCTTGCTCTATTTCTAATGTAAATTTATGGAATTACTAACTTTCATTGTGACAACTTAGTCTGAAAGTGGATTTTTTTTCCTTTAAATAGCTATTGTAGCTTTTTAAGCATGATACATTCTGCTGCCGTTATTGTTTTTCATCTGGAATTAATGCCTTAGTTTCTTTCGAAACGACCACAAACTACCGGATTGCCTTGTAGTAAAATTCCTCATTATTTTGTTTCCAGAAAAGAAATCCGTGGAGGCGGGAAAGCCAGAAACGACGAAAAAGTCAGTGAAATTTGCTAAGAAACTGGTCACTCTGGGGAGTCAATCGACAGAATCTAAAAGCAAGCCGAAAGTTTCAATCTTGAAGGCTCCACCTCTTTCCGCAAAAACTTCAAGGGAGGGTTCTGGTGAGATCTGTTTTCCCAATTACGTTCATTCGTGATGTGCCACGGATGTTTACTGCTTGATTATCAAATCTCTTTGTTTTCTTGCTTGGATTTAATCATCAGGAATCCCCTAAAGGAAGTAAATACACATTATTTAATTCTAACTCCCCCCCCCCTTTGTCTTTACAATTTCCCCGATTTGTTCCCCAGCAAAATATTTTGATCGGCTGTTTCAGCTGTTGAGCAATTCGGTCAACCGTAGCGTTCCCGATAATGGCAGTTTGTCCATTCTTCTGCGCATCAGAATCAGAATCGGTCTGCATAAGACCGAAAATATTACATTGAATTTTAAGTTGGATGCCAATGGAAGGAAGCCGATTTTTTTTCACATCAGTAAACCAGTTGATGGGAATTAGGACGTTCTTTGCCTGTGTTTCAGATGCAAACTTTTGAATTTTTCACGGGTTGATTGGGATGTAAGGAACATCGGTAGTGAACGTTGTAAACAAGGTCTGCGCAACCTCTTACTCGTCTTTCCTTTTCCAGAAGTTGAAAAAGTGAACGATGCAGATGAGAATGTTGCTGAGACGAAGTCGCGAAAGCCAAAAAAGTCCAAAAACGCTCTCAAACGCATCAAGTGGGTGAAACGACACCGCAAGAAGACCCTCTCCCGGCGCAAACGACGTGCCAATCGAGAGTTGGCTCGCTTGCGTCCCCAGCGTAATGCAGAACAGCATTTGTCAGAGGCAATAGAGTATCTTAATGCCTGGTACTCAAGTCCGGAGACGTGGAAGTACAAGAAGGTTGCACAATTGACTCTCATCAAGCATGCCTTCAATCCTGCTCTTGTGAGTTTTTTTATTTACTACACCTACCCACCACTCCATTAGGAGACGGGGATGGTCCCGCATTTTGGCAGTTCTTGTTCGAAGGGGTACATCTATTTTGCACTCTACTGCTTTTCTCTTACTTTGAAGCAACCCTCATCTCATCAAGTGTTCGTCCATCCTGAATGATGGGGCTTGAGATTTTCTGCTTTGCGAATCCCAACTTGGTTCAAAAGTTGTAAAAAGCGCCATTCAGAAATAGTTTACGATACTCAGTTTTGGTAATAGCCCTGTGAAAAGTAGTTGTCTCACGTCAAGGAGGGAAGATCCGCCCTCTCCTTCTCCCATTTTTTATAATAAGGGAGATTGATGTGTCGTACTCGGTACGTTAGTTTGAGGTCAAGACGTCAAGCTTACATTTCGTCAATGTTCATTGTGAGTGGACAAACTACCCGCTAACACTTATATACAGTGAAAAGGGAAAGTTGTTTTGGAGGCTGCGAAACTAATGCATGGCCCCCACTTTCATACCATGCAGCAATAAATGACAGACACCTTGTCAATTTGTTGCTCTTTTTTCTTCACATATGCTAATAAAAATGCGTTGTGCTTTTTATTCCGTTTTCTGAGGGACTGACTTATGATGGAGAACAGTTCTTATCTTTTTTATTGCAACGCTCGTTAAGTAAATGAAAATATTTTTTTAAAGACGATCCTAAGGCCTTGCACCGCTTCGTGCCCAGAAGACCATGCATGTTTTGTATGGCGTACTGTCAACGAAATTTCCTCATCTTCAACCGAAAAACAGCTTTCTCCCATACGAAATTACGAAAGTTTATGGTTCAATTTTTTGTTTCCTCACTCCCTCCTCAGATCGATGAAGAGACATTTGAACTCCTCTTGCACTACCTGGCAGGGGTGCAAGGGGCCGTGGTGGATCGTCTCCGGTCCATGTGTCAACAAATAATCGACAGTGGAGGCGAGCCACCTGAATCCCCAACCTTTCCCCTTTCCATACCATCCGAATGGCAAGGTAACTGTTCTTGTGTTTATAAAAATTGTTCTACTGAAATATTTTTAAGTAAACAGTCTTTTTACCTTTAGCCTCCTCGGTTGTTGTTGAACGGGCTACGAAAATGCTTGAATTTGTGTTGTCGTCTGCGGCTGGGATGTGAATAACTCGACTACTGCCACCTGATATCTACAGCTTTTCATAGTCAAGTAAATACGATCGATGCCTACTTTGTTTTCTCTAATCAAACTTTGTTAGAGTGAGGGCTGTGCACAATTTTTTATATGGTGCAGACTACTTTGTCGATTTTGTCAGTACAGCAGGTTGGTTGATCGGTGATAGATTATGTCAAATAGCTGTTAACTCTAACTGGATCAGCGAACTGGCAGTATTTTGCATTTTTCACTTAGGGTAACGATATCGACAAGAAAGATGCTCCTTTTCGTCACTTTCTTGTACTGTGTGCACCACTGGTGCAATCCCTTCTACGGTCTTTATAATTTTGGTAGTCTGCGATATGATATTGTGCTTCGGTTAGGTCTTAAAGCGATTTCTCACAACGAAAGGTAGTAATCGGCCTCTGACTGTGTGCATCCGATGCACATTTTTTATCCTCCCTTTTTATTCTGCCTCAATGTTGCATTCCTTTGAATTCCCTAAAAAGACTCCTTTTTGCGTCCATTAAGTTCTTTTCTTCACATTTTGCAGCTTTCGGTTTATTGCATTGAAGCCAAATTGAATTAACTGCTCGCAGTCTAAAGCCAACAGATTTCGTATTCTGAGATTTGGGTGGGTTGGCTTTTAAAGGAGGGAGGTAAATAGTTTTCTTGTTCACAAAAGCAAATGTTCTCATTTTCTTGATTTCATTCCTAATTTACTACGCACACTCCAGGAGGGCCACGCGCACGCATATTGCGTTGTGATTTGGGTGTGTCATCAACGAATCTACCCCCCTTTTTCCTCATCCACTGCCTAATTGGGTTTTCTTGCCTCTTCCTCTTAAGGGATCTCAAGTCTGTTATCAGCAGGGCGACCTACTGCCTCCCACCCTTTCCGAAATTTGCTGGTCGTGATCGGTGTTTCGAATCGATGTCGAACTCCTCCTAGATTTTGCTATTTCTGAGGTTTCTATCCATCTTCTTCCACATGCTAGTTTCTGAACGTTTAGGGAGGTTTGGAATTTCGCGTTCTGGTTTACTTCCTTCTGATTAGCTAGCGAAACGTGGAAGGGGCGCACGCCATATTGAGTCGATGTAATCATGCAGGAACGATCGCCATACATGTACTTAAGCATTCCAATGCCTGGATTATCAGCAACGAAGCTCTCTGTTCTGAAGTCTCTTAGTGCCTCTGTAGGCATTCACAATGAGACCGCCCCCATACGCTTCTGTAGTTTATGCTATTAGATAAGGGCATTTGCACTTGGATAATTGGGTGTGAGGTGACTCGCAACGGGCAGATTATTAGAGCTACGTCTGACATTTGGTAATCACCGCCTGGTTTAAGTTCTCTATCAAGGCTAAAAGTATAGTGGGACCTGGAGGGAATGAATCCAAATGGGTCCCAAAACAAGGAGGCTAGCTACCATCTAGTGAAGACAAAAGATCTGGTAGCTCCCCTCACGTAATAAGAAATTACCACCAACCCAGGTAGACAGTTGCAGGAGTGAAAAAGGGGACTAAAGTCAAGGTGGAAATTTGAGGGTCTCCTCTATCTTGTGAAACGCATTTAGCCTAAACGAAAAACGTATTTCCTAGGCGTGGTGATTGGCGCGCAAAATTCTCCCTTCACAGAGCCCCCATCAAAAACTGCAAGGTGTCATTTCTACACTGACTTTATTACCGCAGAATTTATATTTTGCAGTGGTATAACCCTTTGCTTGAATTTACACCTTTTTAAAGGCAAGATTGAATTGATAGTGATGGGAAAGGTAAAGTTTGAGCGCGATAAGTTCACATTTATTGCCGAATAAATGTCATAAAAATGGGTGTGTGGCGCAAATGGATAAACGGATTGCTATGTGCTAGTTGTGGTACCAGTCTCTCTACACTTCCACGTACTTATGCAAACTTATTAAAGTTGTCAAGTCAAAACGTGGCCTGAGCTCGCCAGTAATTACTTTACAAGGCATTCCTACGTCTCTTCTTCAGCTTATCCTTTGTCCCCTCCTCCTTCGCCCGCTGCATTTACACACCTACCTCGTTGTTCGTCCAACATCTGCAGAACTTCCGCGCTGATGGATTTGTTAAGACTGCTGAACTACGAAACGCCAGGCTCATCGAATGTAAAATCTGCCTTCATGTACAGAGTGCACCAACTCCTCCATGGTGTCGGTTTGTTTCCTTTCGTTATATCGTGTCGTGGTCTGCTGTGCTGTGTTGGGTTGGACTGGCTTCATCCCTTTTATCACACAGCAGGTTATACGTGTTTAATGAATAGATGAATGCGTGACCACAGAAATTGCTGTTACGGTGGTGGGTTGGAAATCATCACGACCCCATAAAGCGTCTTTTGAAACCTCTACAGCATCAAATCTAATAGGGTAATGCCGGGCAGTTGGGCGTCTCGTCGCCGTCTCGTGTGGTTTATTGCCCTCCAGTGGCGTGCCTTGCCACGCCATATTTGAATTCTACTGTAGACACAAGTAGACATTCACATATTCTGGTTTTATGCCTTCTTTCACACCCTGTTCAGTGAACACCCTGCAGCAGCTGTTGCTTTCCGGCTCCATTAACTATGCTTAAAATGAAACCGCCACTTACGCACTTGGCACGTGCTATCAACTGTTGTGTTTGATTGGAAAGGTCGTCACTTTTTCAGACCTACACGGCTTTACGTGTATCTTCACTAACAGCTCAGGTGTGCTGGCAGATGGATGATCTGACTTTGCCTTTGAACCTAATCAGTTGCGATTCGCAACACGACCTCATATCACAACTACCTTTCTCGTTACCTGAATTGGCGTCTGTTATTGTCGATTGTTTCTCTCTTCACTTCATCTGTATGCATACAAAGCACTGATGAAATGGTTTATACAAATGACATTGCGTTGCAATACCATCAGCTGGTGATCACACTCAATTAACATGGTCGGCATGACATTTCAAGGTCGCATACAGTACTGCCCTCCCTTCACACGCACATTGTGAGTGTCAGTGAAAGGCGAGGCAGTGGTGTTGAATTGTAACAACATCACCCGTTGGATCAGATCATTGCAAACAATGAGCTCATTTTTGAACTTGACAGTTTTTGTTTTCAAACCTTACGTGAGTTAACCGTGAGCTTTGTGTTGTCAACCTTTGCACTTTTTAGCCTGTAATGTGGACTTCTGTTTGAAGCTCTCTCTGAAGGCGCTAGACACTGCACACTCCATCAGCAAGCTACAGAATAGCCGACTCGTGAGTCCACCAAGAGCTTTGTATTCTTATCTTTACGCTTCTTTCCATCGCTTAGAGTGTCATCTCCACTCCACATGCGCACTCTTTTGCCTGGACTGTCACAAATTTTTAGGCGACCCAAAGTCAACCACGAGCTGGAAGTGAAAATGATATAGAGAGTAAGAAGGCTTCTTATGATGTCATGGCGACGAGAATCCCAAATATTGCGTCCTCTGTATTGCTAGTCCCCAACGATGTTCAACAATGGAGTCTTCACTGATTCACCTGATTCCTTCCACGACATTTTGGCATAATAGCCTGTCAATTAAATCACTTCCACCAACCCTACTCTAGCTGTCTGTAGTGGTAAAGTATTTTTTTCTCCCACATTAAGAAGGGTGGGGAGATGAGTTGAGGAATGACAAAGAGGTTCATGTAGTGATACCAATCTTGCACTATCATTTCACATCACTCTCAATTTCCTTCTCAAGCACAATTTACTATCAAGGAAGTTTCGTGATCCTCGGTTGGTATGTTGATTCGATTAGAACTTTCGCCTACGCTGCAGTGATCTAACAACGAAGTAGAGCTTGAGACTATCCGCCAAGGGCCCTAAAAAACCAAGAGCAGGCATTTTCTAGCCTGATCTCGCATGCGATGGGAACTTGAAATTTGGATGCAGATTTTTTGCGACCTTCAATGGAATTGCCTCATCTCTGTACACGTGGTGCTCGGTTACGTAAAGCGTGTGCATTTTTGTAACCATAAAGCAGTGAGATTGCCTCTCCTGTAGCACCCTTTATTGTTTGACGTTTCTTCCAAAGCTTGGTGTGATTGGATAACTCAGTTCTACTGATAAAAAACAAATTTTTAGATTTTCATTTTCCTCACAGATAAATTTGGCACATACTTGGAAGATGGGAAAAGCATAGCCCAGGAAATTATGCCGTGTCAGAAATGTACACAGTCGAGCGTGATAAATGTATCCTATTAGCAACAGCAGGCGCAAATTTCATGGGCTGGTCTGGTTCTGGCATCGTTAATCAACCCACCATCAAGGTTTGGCCGCCTGCATGGTGCCGCGTGTTGTGGTGGCCGAAGTTCCTCGTGAATGGCGGTGCAAAACTCCAACCCGCAGACAAGACATACCAATGGTTCCAAGTTCTTATAGACGCCACTGACATTTTCAGTCGTGGTGCTTCTCACCACTCTCAGTCCGCAGCCTCGGCAGTCAATCCAATGAGCGTTCATCGAGCGGATCGCCTGATCGTGGATATTTGATTGGTGCACACTATCGTGTCTGTGTGTAGTATCACCAGTGTCTATAAAATGAGAAGCTCCGATAAGAAGGGTGTTAAACCGTAATTATGGGCGTGATCCTTCACGAAAGTATTCACATTAGTCTAAAATAGTCGCTTCCTAAAAACGTATTACCTCTACACCTCAGTATCACTCCTGAGGTGAATGTCTTAAAGTGAAGGCGAGAAAGGCCTTCAAATCGACTGTAACCAAGTAGAAGGGGTGAGGAGGGACAGTGATCTCACAAAGCTCTAAAATCAAGGCAATTAAGCACACACCTACTTGCCTCCTCTGCATATTCTCCCTTGTGCTCACATCGCATCAGGTAGTCAAATCGAATTCGTTGAGGCAACAAAAACAAAACAACTTCATCCTACGCAGTAGCCGCGATACTTGCATCAATGTTATGAACTCTACCCCTCGTACCCAGTTAAGCCTTATTTAGGCTTGAATCTCATGCCCTAATGGGTTACCCTTGGACTACCCTTTAACATGGTGTGAAGCACACGAGACCAGAAGGCTGGGGTATCCAGCTAGCATTGTGAGTGACATTACCAGAGCTGCACAGTCAAAACGCATACCCATCCTGCTGTCTGGCATTCGTTATAATTTGTACTTCAGCCCCAGGCATTCGAGACAGGAGTGGCGATTAAACTGCTAGATCTGTTGAATGCAAGATCAGAGTTCTGGCTTACGCCACTTTAAAGACTCGCTGTAACTTGGAAGAGTCAGATCGGTGTTTCTTCATCATGCCTTATAGAGCAGTCTATTGATACGGTACGTTATCCCTCGCTGTGCTCTCCGCCATTTCCCTCCCTCTTTTCGGTATCCCGAATGGTAAAATGTCGGCTGAACGAACCCTACGGATGTGATTCAGGCTTATCCTCTTCACGAATCGAGATTAACTCGGTTTCAAAGCTGTAGGAGCCTCTTCCTAGAGAGAATTTGGAGGAGGTGACGTTTTGAATGATTTATTTGATTCGGTTGAGGAGAATAGTCCTCCATTCTTCAACGTGAACAATCAAGCTTATTAAACTTTAGCATCTTGTAATGCAGGAAGCTAGGAAATCATTAAACCGGCCCACTCCAGAAGTCGCTGTGAGCCTGCAAAGAAAACCACCCTCCTACATGACATTCTGACGTGGTTTTCAGTCAGCGAAATTGGGATTGCTATTCTTTCGGAGCAAGGTTCGCTAGCACCGCCGTCAATCGGTTTACCAGCCAAATCGTCACTGTGGACTGGAGGCGGGAAGGCCAGGAAACTGGTGTAACGGGAATGACTAGGAGATTTTTGTCTTCACTCAATGCACCACAGTGGGTCACGCCCTTCAACAGTATTTTACTTAACGCTACGCAAAAACAATTTACATCCCTTTTATACGGTTCATCTTCTTTTTGCTGGTGCAACTTCTGAATTCGAAAGCTGGGGCTGTGGAATCACTGAAATGCCCTCACGGAGATTGCAGTGATTTTTAAGCCTCTACAACCGTGAATGCTTGCGTGTACTGTCAGAAAGTGTCAGAAAAGGAAGTCGTTTTTTTCACTCGACTCCACCATTATGTAGTGCACAACCTTTATGGAAGGAAGAGTGCTGCTTAGGTCTGAACGTACACCACATACACTTTTCAAACTTGTCTGTTTTATAAAAAAAAAACAATCTTTGATACGGTTTTAGTTTTTGCCTATGGTTGGGCAAATCACTTCATTTACCTTCGTTTTAAGGTGTAACACCAGGAAAGGAAGGTGAAGAAATTCTGCAATAATATCCACCTTTCCTGCCCACAAGTACGGGGTGACAAACAATGACATTTGTTTTGTCTGAAAAAATTCCCAAATTTTTGCTGCTTTGACTACTTCTGTACTACTCAAATTATTGGGTGGATTTGGAGAAATAAAAAAGTTTTCTTTTTAAATTACCAGAAAAACGAATTAGCAAAGCAGAAGTAAGTAAAACAAAGCAGACATTGTGTGGGATGGCTGGATGTATATGTGGGGATACGTTTGTACGTGATTACAAAGTGGAAACACAGATTCGCCTCATTCAAATGGTCGCAGGCATTGCGGAGAATCGCATGCACTGGGTGATAGGTGAGCAGAGCAACACCTTCGCACCCAATTCAAATGACGGAGGAAAAATTATCCAAAGGATAGGGGAGCAAACATTAAGGAAGGCAATGTCGGGCAGACATTTTCAACAGGTCACGCGATTAGCTAAAAGAAGGTTGCCGACACATGCAGCCCAGAGAATGCGCGAATTAGCAACAGGAAGGTTACCAGGATCATTCAAACCAAAGAATCTGGATGTCCGAATAGATTCCATGAAATGGAGTTATGGAGTTATCCGCGAAGACCTTAAAAGAAGCACGAGTCTGAGAGAAGCTTTACTAGAAACACGTGGAGGAGCTGAGAAGCTAGTAGCTTAGACGGCATGAGCTGATCTGAACCGCGGAAGAGTCAAAAGGTCTCTCTATTATGATGGAATGTAGACTTGTCGGTGTTCTGTGGTCAAAGTCTGGGCGAGCTGCACGTCAGTCACGTGTTTCGAACGTCGTCACGTGAATTAGTGTACCTACACACGCACACACCCAATTTTCACAACGAAACACTCGCCTTGGTCGTGCGTTGCGTATTAACACGGCGGCCAATCAGGCGAGCCGACGCAATCGCGCCGACGACCTTCATTTAACCTAGGGGAAACAGCCAATGGAAGAAGCATTCAACTTGGTTCGACTATGAACGGGGTTATGCACTTAAAATTAGGGCTGTCAAGTAATCGTATGAATGTATGTATACATACTACAATAGATTGTTCCCTAGTAGGCTCATCCTAGTTACTAGATGATTTCCAGATCGACAAATTTTCTTGCAAGTTAGTCGTAAATTCAAATACCTTTTTACTCTGCTTAGAACAAAGTGAATTAATTTGCATAGGCCCTCAAGTTATTCTGCTGCTACTTTTTCATCCGTCAAACTTTTACCCTCCAGGGCTGTTTATGGTCTCACCTACGTAAACAGGTGGATAAATTTGACTCCTTAAAAATGTGCTTTAAAATGCATTCCCAGAAAGCGATTTTTAAGTGCTCTTGAGCATTCTTATGAGTACAAAGAACAACTTAAACGTGATCATATTCATTTCTAGGATTATGAAAGCAAGAAAGCCCAGGCATGTAGGCACTCCCCATTGACATAAGTTGGCCACCGGGGCTACCCCACTTAAAGGCCAATCTCAAGATGATGGGTGGTGTTAAGACTGAATCACATGAATTTCAACTTTTTGCTCCAATCGCTCATTAATTTATTTTCGATGACAAGTACACGCATTGGGTGTTGCACTGTAGGCACCGGTCATGAACGAGGAGCGTGGTAAATACACGCAATCACCTACTGAAATGTTACCTGTCAAGGTATTACCCTTAAAGTGTATAAATTTGTCATCATTTTTTTCGTATCTGGTGGTAAATAAAATCACTCCTTCTGGGAAGAGAGTGAAGGGACAGTTGATGCAAAATTGTAGATTAGACAGGTGCGAGTGTTGGCCGAGGCGAGGGTGTGGTTAACTAATGGATGCACCGAAGAGTATTTCGTAGTTTGTCAAAGTTTATTTTCAATATGGGGTAATAATCTTGTTTACTACGGTATGGAAAAAGGTGAATCTTAGCAAGCCATAAAAAAAGAAAGTAATCTTTTCTTACTCCTACCGACTTAGAGATGAGATGGAAACGCTCTTTAGGATGAGAGCTTAGGCAGAACTTTGGTTAGCTTGACTTTCGTATCTTCTCCAAGTGCCTGAGTCGCCCTTTGAATGCTTTACAAAACACGTAAATGTAAAAATAGCTACACTGCTGACATGTGGAAGGGTTGGGAGACAGCGGCAGTGGCGTGAAGAACGATTCACAGGGTACCAAGGAGCATACACGATTGTGTACCGATCACTAGGGCAATCAAATGAAATGAAATTTTCTGCATCAAAAAGTCTTATTTGCAGAGCAAGGTGCCAAAAGTTATATCCTTTGATAAAATATCTCTCTGTTTGGCGACCCTAATCTCATTCAACAATATTAGGTCTATTACGCATTTAATGCATCCTAGTAATTAATCGCGTTTATTTTCACACCCCTCTGTGGTGCTTGGTCCTCCGATTTAACTCCTTTTCATGAGCTATTCGGAACCGTTTCAGTCGGGACATCACCGCGCAAAAGTCAAAAATGGGGGAGTTGGAATAATTGATGCTGTTGATTGCGTAGCCCTTCTGCCAAGCCTCTAAGGCCCTTTTCTAGGCACAAATCAGTTTCATCGTAATCACCCGACTATTTGGAGCATTAAAAGGCTATGATGTCCCGACTTGTTTCTGAGACAATCTAACAGTCTATTTACGTATATGGGGTGACCGGGGCTCTGGGTTGTTATCACAAAGGCCATTTTTAGTAAGGTGTCGAAACCTGGAGTCGTACTATGCAGTGCGACAGCTTTGCAACAACTCAGCCACACTGATCAAACCTCCACTATTTCATTCTGATAATGTAATAATCTTTCGTGTGCCAAAAAGGTCGAGCACTTTACGAGCCCTGATGACTAAAAAATGTAGGTTGAATTTCATCTTTAACTGTGGATAGATTTAGCTCAAGATCACTTAAAAAATTTCGTATTTTGTGGACCGTTCAAACACCTTTGCAACAGGCATCAAATTCGAATCTTTCATTTTTGACGATAGCCGCGACGCCTCAAGTAAATCTACTAATATGCAAAACTACTCTAGGAGGCACTGAAAAAATATCATTCATAGCAATTACGCCAGCTGCAGACACCAACATTGCTAGCGGATCAGGTCTTACTTCACTGTGTGAGTTAGCACTTTTTTTAGCAAGAAATATGCAAGAAGTAGAGCTGTTAGACACGAAATTTGGTTCCTGAAATCCACCCGAGATCGACAAAATGAGTGGACGTGGCAAGGCGTAACTGGGCTAGCCACAACCACACACCTACACACACCCACTGCAAGCAATAAAATTGTGTGCGTGTGAATGAATGAATATGTGTGTGTATGTGTGTGTTTGCACAAGAGCCCACATAAGCCATTAGTTAGCTCTTATGGTCACCTCCAAGCTGCGTGATTAGCCGCGTGCAAATCTACAGACGGCATGGCCTTGGAACGTGCACACACCCCACTCGCCAATCCACACCTCAGGGAGGGATACACGCACCCACTCCTCGTGCTGCGATTGGATGAGGTGCGTGAAATAAGGTGGGCACACCCACAGTGCGTTTCTAGGCCATGCTGACTAGACGCACGACCTTACAAGAAGTATCAGCTGCTATATAAGGTGCCGGTGATTCCGCTATCGAGAAAACTGGGTTTAATCTCACTGATCTGGCGGATTTTACAATACGATGAGTTCAGATATTGCTTCAAACCTGTTGATGCCACCAACTGCTAACATTGATGTAAGCTTGGCACTAACGAGCTCAACTATATATTTATTGAATTGGTCTATTAATCCATTTACTTTTGCCACGTAGATGTTACAACTGAAAACGGCGGAGATATTGGTGTCGATGTCGGAGGGATTGGCATTTAGCTTAAATCAAAACCACCTCCGCGCACCGCCTATCTCTCTCTTCCCAGAATTTACGCCTCTTCAAAACCAGAGCTACACCAACACCCGCAACAGCGATGGGCTGGATACGGAGGGGGAACTGCACCGTCGATTGAAATTCAAACTTCACCGCACCAAACCCCATGAAACCGCTGCCAGTAATCTCAAACACAAGGCGGCCGGAGCCGAACCGTCTTCGCGTCTAGCTGAGGTGGGTTTTCTTCCCTTGTTCTTTTCTTTCCTCTTAAACATTTGGTTTCTTGTTTTTATTCCAGTTTTAACTTTGTTTCCAGATTCTTCGTGAGCAGAATCTTGAGGGTAGGATTCCACTTCGACGATCTTCGACAGATCTTGTGGACTCCTCTGTGATTTTACGGCTAATGGCACAGCAGCACCGAAACTCTCTTCATCCTCACGAAACCAGTGCATTCAGTGTGGTTTCACCCCTTCCGTCTGAAGACGGTGTTTCTCCTAGTTCTACTCCTGTAAGTATTCCACGTAGGGTTTTGAATTCAGTTCCGGAGTTGACGCATAAATTTATGAAGAATCTTCCCTTCTTTCCAGTCGTCTTCCTATCACACTGGTCCAGAAGCAGAGGAGGCTTCCTGTTCGATGGCAAAGCCCTTCAGCTGTCCCTTTGATCTCCACGTGCTTTCGTTAAATTCTACGCCACAGATCCCTTCGGCGTTCACTGAACGCCGCGCTTCTGATCCCTGTCCCGCTTCTTATGCCGCTCTACAGAAACAGACGGTCTCGCAGAGTGGTAGAGGCGCTCCTACTGGACGAGTGAAAACACATCACTGTACATTCCAAGGCTGTGATAAGGCATACTTCAAGAGCTCTCATCTTAAGGCACACGTCCGAACTCATACTGGTAAGTTTTTTTCTCCTGGATTGATTTACCCTTGCATTTAAGGAGTTAATCTACCTCAATTAACTTTAAAATATTGTAGGTGAGAAGCCGTACGTCTGTGACTGGGAGGGATGTGGACGCCAGTTCGCTCGATCTGACGAACTGTCGAGGCATAAGCGAGCTCACACTGGAGAACGCAAATTCACCTGCAGTTTCTGTCCTCGTCGATTCAGTCGCAGCGACCACCTCAACAAGCACATGAAACGCCATCAACTGGAGGTGGTTGCTGCTGCAGCAGGCACTGGTAGCAGCAGTGGTTCTGGTGTTTCAGACGTTGAAAAACATACTTCTATCGACCTATCCCCGTCTTTAATTCCCCAAGAGGCCGCACCACGATTCCATCTCTGGTCCGATGAATAGTTGATGTCCAACGGGTGTATTTCAAATCGTCCGCCCAGCCGAGTCCATCCTCAACCAAACAGCAGAAGCGCATTTCTTTTGTGTCTGCGGACCTTGTTTTTTGTCTGGATGGTGATGAAAGAAGGCGGAAGGAGTTGTGGCTTTTTACCAGCGGAGCTACTACATATCCCCTCTTTCATTGTTCTTCATCCAAAGATTGCACACAAGCACGCACGCACACCCACATACATACATTCGTTTACAGACAAGGTCTTTTACCCTCTGGTCTTGTGGTCTACTGGAAACCCAACTCGCCAGATGTCCAAAGTGCTTCTTACCACTATTATTTCTTCTCATTATTTTGTACGAATAAATACCGTGCATTTTCTAAGTATCACAGCTCTCTTTCTACCTCTTGGTAATGGGGTCGGATGGTAGTAGTACTTCTTTCAGATGAATATCCAGCTGAAGTAGGACGGGTTTCAATGCGCTATTGTTATTTCGAACAGTTGTGTCCATCTATCTGCCTACCTTCCTTTGTTACTTCAGCCTTATCAACGGGAATGATTCATTCAAAAAAGTGGTGAATAATTTAATAGAATCGTGGTTACAATTGAGGAGTTCAACCCTCCATCGCTTAGTCAAGCGTCTATCCCCATGGCATGTCATCGATGACAACGGGCCTCAGAGAATATTTCTACGCTTCACACCTTGTTGATTAGAAGTCCATTGCTGGGGGTGATAGAAAATGTAAGACAGAAACACCCAGTATCGTTGCCCTATTGATCAATACGAGATTTTTGACTTCAGGACGATGGTTGGTTCCTTCCTAAATTGATTTAACCAATGAGGGGCATGAAGGGACTGCACCGCCTTTCTTTCTGATAGTGGCATTGCTAAGCTCTCTTGGAATTCATTATTCTTGTTGATTTCCCGTGTAATGTAATGACGCCATCTGGTATCAACTGTGGGTACAGTTATCACGAAGACTGCAGCTGATTTGGGACCTTGAGCTGACCAATGCGAGGAGTGACAACGCTCAGGCAGATATTGCGCTCACGTTGTTTAAAAATGACCAGAATTTTTTGTTCGAAACTTTTGTTTTTAAATAACAAATAAGCAAAATTAAATAGAAACACCGACGTACATGTCGCAAGCATTCAGCATGATGCCAAACGTGACTAGTCTACAGAAAGGGCTCACAGATAATGTTTGAGAGGGCTGACTAGTCATCCGACAATCGCTCGTCCAGTCTATCTACAGCTGAAGATGAACGCATCCGCTGCTACTGCCTTAAGCCCATTATTCGCAATCGCAAGGATTACAGCTGAAATTTCAAAGGTGGATATCTTAGCGAAGTGACGTTGATTGACCACACCCTCGCCTCGTAAATTGCTTTGTCATTTGCTGCTTCAGTCTATCGGGCATAGTTAATTTGTTGAGTGACGTAAATAATGCCTAAAATTCAGACTAATCCCGTAAAAAAGGCGCCTAATCACAAAAAGGGTTATGATTTTATAGTAAAAGCCGCAGATCCATCACTAATATGGAAATGCTGCTAACAAGAAATAAATTAAACCCACACACTATATCATAGGCATCGGGAGTCTCTTATTATTTATGGTAGGCTTTGCTGCTAAGGCCACACAATGCATTTGCTATGCTGGCAGTGTTTTAAAAGTGACGCAGGCAAAAGTCGAACATAACTGCGATGTGCGGTGCTTTGCAAGTGATTTAACGGTCCACTTCCATGCTATTAACACCGATTCCCACGAGCACAGTGGGTGACTCCACGGTAAGCTAAAGCTAGTAGCAGTAATGTCCTGTTGGCACTATGCTTCAACTTGTCGAGGGGCAAGTTGTTATACATAAGTTCTGCAAAAGAACGCTTTTTACACTCGCCGTAGCTGTGGCATGAAGCAAAATTCGCTATTTGAATGATATTTACATCGATTGTCATGGCTACAAAAAAGCTGGGATTTCTCACACAGAAGACTCGTGCGTAAATATGTAATAAATGGGAAAAAATGTCTTCGGTAGACCCTCGTATGGGTGGGATGAGGGAGGGCGGGGCAAACAATGATTCCACTGTGGCACGCACAGGCTCAGTACGAACTCGTACAGCGCACATACACACACACGCATAACCACGCCCCAGCCACGTGGTATGCCACCGCCTTGCCCAGCGGCGGCCAGCCCAAAGGCACGGACGCACACACCTTGCGTCCAACCCTGAGAGTGGCCAATCACAGCGCAACTCGTCTGACTATGAGAAGGGCAGCAATAGTGAAAAGACTGTGTGCATCCCTTTTCTTCTATTGCGATCGAAAAATGTGGCTGAATTAAGTACCAAAGTTGAGGCTGCAAATCTTAACTGTTCTAGCTTGCTTTAGCCGCTAAACTCAGACAATTCCCGGTTTCTGCCGTTTAAATCGAGTGGAACAACCCAGAAGAACCGAATAATTTTGAAACGCCAACTAATTAGGTGACGCTTCAGCATTGGTCAAAGCGATCATTGCACCCTCACCGAATGTTGAGGACCCTCCTCAAGGCAATCCCCTTTGTTCTATGAACACAGGGCACTCGAGGAGCGGAAAAGGGAAAAAGAAAATTACTTCGGTTTCCATCCCAGTCAGCACTACTAAAGATTTGCAATTTTTTCCGGACATCGCGACCACGGTGATTTACTGCTGCCACACAAAAACATTCCACCCCTTGTTATTGGCTCCTTTTAAGGCCACTTTTAGGCCAATCAGAAAAGCGTGAACCGAGTGAAGAGTGGCTTGGCCTATGGAAGCCTTCACAAGAGTTCTCTGACAAATATGGGAGTGAAATATGCGAAATATTTTCCCAAGATAGCCTAAAAACCCAGCCCCATGTTAAGTGACCCACTTCATTCGATGCTGGAACATTTTTAGCTTTATCGTAAAAATGCATAAAGTTGTGGTGTGATTGAAATACTTTTGAATAGGTAGATTTTATGTAAAAAAGCGATTTACTAAGTTAAATTTCAGGTTTTAGCAGACAATTTTTTGGGTTTTAAACGGGATTCAGTGAAGTGTCATTGGATAAAAGATTTTGGCGGGCGAGGGTGTGGCTCGAGCATTAACAAACGGTTTCGCAATGTGTGCAAGCCACTGATAGTTTCGAAGTCTGGGCCATGTTCATTTTTTATAAGCCTTGGCTTAGCATGTCTCATCCAAAAATCACCCACCGCCACCTGTAAAGGATAGGTTGCGTTTAAAATTGTGCGACTCAATAATGACCAAAAGTGTTCTCAATCATCTTCCTCCGACTACCTTGGTGTTTTATTTTCAATCAGTCCGGTTACACAGCATGAGCTGGTGAAGGCACATTTATTATAAAATAATATAGCATATTCGTCACATATTTGTGACCATGGTAGAGAACATGCTAAAAATTGTTTTTAAAGCATTTTGAAGGCATGTAAATGTACATTTAAGATAACTGAATGAAGGAGCCCTTTACACACGACCTCCTGCCACCAAAGAGGTTTGACTTCTTGTTGAGGAAACAAAGTGTCTGGCTCGCATCTACCAACAGTTTTTTATCAAATAGGGGAGATTTTTTAATGCCTAAAGCATGCCATCATTGGGCTGTTGATTTATCGTTTGTCCTTTCCACAAATAACCCTTAAGTGTACCCAAAGACACCCTTATCTGGGAATTTTTTACCTATGTTGAGCCGAAGTACACCCATTTGAAATCGAAATTACTACCAAACGTGAGAAAATAGCCTTAGTTCCAAATTTCGTGAGTGAAGTGCCGCCTTCGAACTTCACACAACGGACCCCTGCTTCTCATGAAGGTAGTAGAATTGTGGCATTTGTGCACTACTATCAGTGTTACCTCAAGATTTTTTCATCTCCTCTAGAGCCTCAAAATCGTGATGCGCCATTTAAGATGCATGCAGCCCAGTGCCTGGTCAATTTTTCCACGTTGTATATGGTTACCATCACCTAGAGGGACTAAACTTCCTAATCCGACATGAATTGCCAAAAAAATATTTCCTTTACTTTTCAAGCCATCTGTAGCTACTTTCCTGGGGGACTAGGTCCTGTTTACATACAAAAAACACTCAAATCAATGTACTCTTCGGAAGATCAAGGATATCGAGTGTAAGATTTGAAGTGCGGTTTACTCTCGTGGCTCACATGCGAGGAAACCAGTCATCTCATATTCCATGAACCGATGGAAATGGATGATGGATTTCCAATCTATGCATTGGTTACGAAACCAGACATCATTGTAGACCTGCCGCGTCTATGATACCGATCTTTTTTTAAAAAAAGTCAGATAGAATATACTTTCGCATCTTTTTAACACACTTTTTGAAAAGACCTTGTCTTGCCCAATCAGTACCTCTAATTTCACTAATTTGACGGGTGTAAATGAATCATCAGAGCATAAATCTTTGTCAAATATCACTTAGTATGTGGGTCATACGCTCATCTACTTGTTTTTGTGCTGTTAAAAAATACTCCTTTTCGTGATTGTCAGACTACAAAAAATGTGGAAAGAGTGTGCACAAGGGGCACACTCTTTTGTGGGTCCGCAGGAGGTAGGCCATTTGAGACAAAATTCACAATCAACTGAACCAAATGGAAGTGTATAGGATGAATTCTGTTGGAGACTTAATTCACTTTACATGTAAAATGTGGGTATGCAAATAGGACAGACTAAAGATAGCATACTTTTCACTCTCACGGACTCGTGTTTGGAGCGGCGGCAACAAATCGCCAAATAGATGCCTGTAATAAGCCCCAGCTTAAGCTACTGCCTAAAAAATTAAAGCACACAAGCCAGACACGAGGAATGAGGCACCAATAGCAGGGCTTTGTGCTACCATCGAAATGGAGAAAAGCCGGAATAGTCACGGTTGCTTCTCTAGATCAACTACCGCGGAGATAACATGATGAATTTACATTAAATCGGGTAGTGTTCTGATTTCAGTGATAGTCTCACATTCTGCATAACTTTAAGGATCCAACTCTTATCGTT